TGCGGTTTTGGTGACTTTAATCTCAAATCCAGCTGTCACTGCAGTACCAGACGAGTCTGTGGCTTGCCGGCAATAGCCCCTGAGTGGAGGTAACACAGCCCCACATGTGTCTCAGAGGGCGTTTTGAGCCAGCAGGGCTACTTAATTTTATTTGTGGGAATGGTTTTTGTGAATTTACCAGAGTTGGGTGCCACCGGGTACAGTTTTTAGAAAACAAGCTGCTTCTCAGAAGACCTTGCATGATGGCGTTGCGTTGTCCTGGGCCCTCGCTGCCAGCTTCCAGCTCAGCCCTGGTGCTTTTCTGATAGCTCTGCTGACACCTCTGGAGGGTGTCGCGTCCCCAGAGTTGGGGAACCATCACCACTGTCTGTCTCCAGGGCACATCACCCCCAAAAGGAACACTTGCATCCATCTGCCCTACCCACACCCCCGCCCTGGCGGCCACTCAGCTGCTCTCTGTCCCTGTGGGTGGCCTTTTCTGGGTGTGTCCTGTAAATGGCATCGTATGACACGTGACCTAACACGTGCCTCCATCCTGGACTGAGCTCAGGTGATTCTAGCGTCTTTGTATTCGGATGCGTTTCTGAAGTTTATGCGAGTTTTTGTATTCATGTTTGTTTGTTTGTTTATTTTATTTATTTATTTATTTTATTTATTTATTTATTTTTTTGAGTTGGAGTCTCACTCTGTCACCCAGACTGGAGTGCAGGGCTGCTTCCGGCCACCACAGCCTCAACCTGCTGGGCTCCAGCCATCCTTCCACCTCAGCCTTCCAAGTAGTTGGAACTACAGGCGTGCGCTACCACGCCTGGCTAGTTTTTGATTTATTGTAGAGATGAGGTCTCGTCAAGTTGTTCAGGTGGGTCTTGAACCCGCGGTCTCAGGCAGTCCACTCACCTGGGCCTCCCAAAGCGCAGGATTACAGGCTGTGCCACCGAGCCCGGCCGTGTATTCATTTTTAAACGTGAGGGCTTGGCTGGAGATGGAGACCTTGATGTGGTAATAGGCTGTAGGTCTGTTTTAGCACCAGGCACTGTATGGTATGGACTAAGTAGTTGTCCTGCCTCTGAGAGCCCCTCCCCACTGGCCCTTTCTAGGTGGAGGAGGCAGATGACTGGCTGCGCTACGGCAACCCTTGGGAGAAAGCGCGGCCTGAGTATATGCTTCCTGTGCACTTCTATGGGCGCATTGAGCACACCCCTGATGGTGTAAAGTGGTTGGACACGCAGGTACTTGGGCAAGGGGTGGAACTGTGGGCCTCAACGGGGCAGTGGGTGTGTTCAGTCAGAAGGGGAAGAGCCGTGGAGCATGAACAGGGACAAGGAGAGTTACGAGGAAGGTGGGTCCCTTGCTGCTGCCGTCCTGAGCGTCTCCCTTGTGCCAGGTGGTGCTGGCCATGCCCTACGACACCCCGGTGCCCGGCTACAAGAACAACACCGTCAACACCATGCGACTGTGGTCTGCCAAGGCACCCAACGACTTCAAGCTGCAGGACTGTATGTCCCGCTGTTTTGTCCACGTCCTTGTCCATGTAGATGACTTGTCCTAGATGCCCATGTCCATGGCTCTCAGCTCTGTGCACTTACGGGTCCTGCTGAAGACCGAGGCTGGCGCAGTGTCCCCGGGGCCGGGAGCTGCTAGGGGGAGGTCCCTAGGCAGAGCCACCCAGATGCCAGGCCCAGGGCAGCCAGGTCACGCTGGTGCAGACCACGTGCCTCTGAGGGAAGAGGGGCTGGCATGGGGGTGCACGGGGTGCTGTGGGAGGGCCACGCATCCCTGTGGGGGGTGAGGTGAAATGCTAGAGCAGCTCAGGCCACCCTGTACTCGGGTTGCAACTCCTCTGCCTTCCAGCAGCCATACTGCCCACACTCGGGAGGTGCATGGAGCCTGAGGGCAGCGTGCTGACATGTTCTTTCTCCTAGTCAACGTTGGGGATTACATTGAGGCGGTCCTGGACCGGAACTTGGCTGAGAACATCTCCCGAGTCCTGTATCCAAATGACAACGTGAGTCGCTGAGGGGGGATCCCCTCGCTTGGATGCGTGTGGCAGGTGGGACTTCCTTGGTTGGCCTGTGGCTGGTTTGTGTCACAGCTACCAGCAGCCCTCCCACCTGTGTGCACTGATAATGCTCCTGGGGGGCATGGCTGTCCTTGACGAAGCCAGCGAGTCTGCATGTGCCTCTCAGCGTCTCTCGGGGAGGCCCTTTCCTCTCCCCCTTAATTCCCTCATAAATGCATGGCAGCGCCCTCAGGCTGGATGTGTTCTGGTCCCTTCCCTCCACGTAGGTGACCCATTGTGCAGCGGGGTCGCAGTACCTGCTGCAGTGAGGCCTGGAGACATCTGAAAGGCCATGAGCATGCATGGTGCCCACAGCCACATGGACTTGGCACCTATAGTGCTCTTGCTGTTGCTTCCAGCAGGGGTCCTTGGAATCTGCCTCTCTTAGAGGGTCACGCATTTCTTGAAGTTAACTTTGGTATTTTCAGAGTAATATGTGCTCACAAGGGGCAGACCTGGGTGTGGAGGGCCCCCAGGTCACACACTCCCTCTCTGCCCCCTGAGGTCCTGGAGCTGCTGGTGCCCATCCTGAGCATGTGGTTTCTGCGTGAGTCTGGCACTGCACTTGTCCCACGTGTGGCCTCTCCCTGTCAATGGACTGCTTTGTCCTGGGACCTATCCCATAGGCAGGGAGCCCTCTGTCCCAGGGTGCACAGGCAGGCCCTGGTGTCAAGCAGCCAGGCCACTTGCGACCTTATGCCTCTTCCCCTGGGCCGGGCCACCCAACCTGGCCTCCCATGGGGAGGAGAGTGACCCTGGCACGGGGGACAGTGGGGCATGTGGGTCCCCAACCTGCACCCCAGCCAGCCCTGGCTGTATCCACAGTTCTTCGAGGGGAAGGAGCTGCGGCTGAAGCAGGAGTACTTCGTGGTGGCTGCCACCCTTCAGGACATCATCCGCCGCTTCAAGTCCTCCAAGTTTGGCTGCCGCGACCCCGTGAGAACCTGTTTTGAGACGTTTCCAGACAAGGTGCGTGGGTGGACAGGGATGTGAGCTTGACAGAGGAGGATGGGGCATCTCAGGCCCTTGAGGTTTCTGTCTTTGTGTCCTGGGAGGGGCAGGAGCAGCACAGTCCCCAGTACCCTGGGAGGACGACCATGGGCCTTGTGGCTCCTCCCGCACCTGCTGAAGCACATGCCTGGCACAGGGCACACCTGGCTACATGGCATACCAGTCATGGGGTACACCTGGCACGGGGCACACCTGGCACAGAACAGACCTGCCACGGGACACACCAGACATGGGGCACACCTGGTTACACAGCACACATGGGACAGGGCACGTATGGCATGGTACACACCAGCACAGGGCACACCGGTCAACAGCACACACTTGGCACAGGACAGACCTCCTATGGGGCACACTTGGCACAGGGCACACCTGGCAAAGGGAACACTTGTCACAGTGCACACCTGGCAAAAGAGTGTGCTTGCCAAAGGGCATACCTGGCATAGTATACACTTGCCACAGCACAAACCTGACAAAAGGAACACCTACCATAGACTGTACCTGGCTAGAGGGCATATCTAGCATAGGGCATGCCTGACACAGCCCACACCTGCCACAGTGCACACCTGGTACAGGGCATACCTGGCATAGCCCATTCCTGACCAAGGGCACATCTGGTATAGGGCACACCTGGCACAGGACACACCTGGCATACAAGGCACACCTGCTGCATGAGATACTTGCCGCATAGCCACTGACATTCTTCAGCTCTCCCTGAGGTTCCTCTGAGTCTCTGGGGTCCTCAGGACTGGGCTGGGTCAGCTCCTTCACACATGGGACGGCACACACTAACCACCATGGATGCCCATGTGGGACAAAGCGACCAAGGGCATCCCTCGTGTGACCTGCAGGTGGCCATCCAGCTAAATGACACCCACCCCGCCCTCTCCATCCCTGAGCTCATGCGGATCCTGGTGGACGTGGAGAAGGTAGACTGGGACAAGGTAAGCACTGAGGAGGGACAATGGGGCCCCCACCTGCCCATGACCTGATATGGGGCTATGGTGCCTCCCTAGACCCATGTGGGGTGACCGCATCTCCCCAGATCTGACATGGAGCATTGATATCCCTAGACTAACTGTGGGTCTCAGAGCTTTAAGCGTTTAGAGACACCCAGTCTCCATAGGTGTGGACTTGCTCTTGTGATCAGCTTGGGCTCCTCGGCACAGTGGGATTTTCTTTTTCTTTCTTTTTTTTTTTTGAGTCAGAGTTTTACTCTGTTGCCCAGGCTAGAGTGCAGTGGCATGCTCACGGCCACCCCAGTGTCGACCCATTGGACTCAGGCAATCCTTCCACCTCAGCCTTCCGAGTAGCTGGAACTACAGGTGTGTGCTGCCATGCCCAGCTGATTTTTTGATTTATTGTAGAGAAGAGGTCTCACCAAGTTGCCCAGGCTGTTCTTGAACCCCTGGGTTCAGGCAGTCCTCTCCCCTTTGCCTCCCAAATTGCTGGGATTATAGGTTTGAGCTATCCCACCTGACTGGGATTTTCTTAACCTGGCTTTTGCCAAACCAACATGTCAAACCATGCAGCAATGTTTAAATTCCATTTTGTGAAAACTCAGGCCCCATTCTGGTCTCGGTGTGTGTGTACTCCGAATGAGGCTGTACCCATCACGGGCCCTGTAGGCCTAGCCACTGGGGCCAGGACCACATAGTGACCCACGTCCTTGCACTGTGCATGTCCCAGTTTTGTGAGACAAAGAGCAGGTTGCTTGGTGTCCCATAAGTTCACAGATGAATCATGGTTTACAGAAGGAGATCTGCAGGTGTTCCCAGGTGGCAGGGCAAGCATCACTTGTGTGTCAAGCGCTGGGCCAGGGCATTAGGTGTGTGTGGTCGTGTTAGCAGTGGGGTGCTAGTCCACGTTCCAGGCCTTGAGGGCCCAACCCTGCCTGGAGAGCAGCGGGGACAGACCCTTTCTGCATGTCCGCATTCACCTGCCATCCTGCACACTCGCCTCACCTGGGCATCTGGCCAGAGTGCTTGTTTCTAAATGTACTAAATGTACTTGTTCCCAATGGCCTAGGCCTGGGAGATCACCAAGAAGACCTGTGCCTACACCAACCACACGGTGCTGCCTGAGGCCTTGGAGCGCTGGCCCGTGTCCATGTTTGAGAAGCTGCTGCCACGGCACTTGGACATCATCTATGCCATCAACCAGCAGCACCTGGACGTGAGTGTCCCTGGCTAGGGCGGGCATAGGGCAGGGTGCCTTCACCTGAACCGGTGGCCCTATCTGGCCCAGGAGAGGAGATGTCTTGCTCCTGGAACGGGGTGGCCTCTGTCCAGCAGAGGTTGCCTGGGGTCTGGGACTGTCTCTGGGCAGAGCTGTGGGCTGGTCCCACACCTGAACCCTGCCATATGTGTGGGCATAGTGGATCCTGTCTGGTTACAAGTGTTCCCACCCCTGTAGGCATTAGACACAAGTGTTGGTTCCTGTAGTCCCAGAGCCCTCTGTCCTGAGTACATTTCAGAAGAGCACTGCCAGGAGGGTAGCAGTGCAGGGAGAGGCAGCTGGAATTCAGTGAAGCTGCAGTGACCTTTGTAATCCTCTGGTGAGAGTGTGGTGGATACACGCGGGGTTAGCAGGGCAGCCGTCTAGCTCCCCTCCTGTCAATTGAATGGCCTGTCTTCTGCCCCACTGGGGTCCCGTCTTTCTTAGGCAGCAGCCCCATGGGACCCCAGGCCGGGCCTTTTCTGGGACCCCATGAGGTGCGTCTGAGGTACCAGAGATGGGGCCACAGGAGTAGGTCTGGCCGTAGCAGCACCTGGACTTCTCCGGAGGCCCCAGAACATCCCACAGGCAGCAGCTGATCGTCCCCTGGTCTCTGGGAAGTGGCGGGTCCCCGTGGGACCTCATGCCGCCCGCCCATGTGCTCTGTCTCGGCACCAGCATGTGGCTGCGCTGTTTCCTGGGGACGTGGACCGCTTGAGGAGGATGTCTGTCATCGAGGAGGGGGACTGCAAGCGGATCAACATGGCACACCTGTGTGTGATCGGCTCACACGCTATCAACGGCGTGGCCAGGATCCACTCGGAAATCGTGAAGCAGACTGTGTGAGTGGGATGCTCCTGAGCTGGCTGACTCCTCCCAGCACCCAAGCCTGCCTCAGGACCTTCCCCCGGACACTTCCAGGCCTTCCTCTAGGGCCTTCCCTACACACCTGGGCTGGGCCTTCCTCTAGGGCCTTCCTCATTCTCCAAGACCTTCCTCTAGGGCCTTCCCTGTCAGGGGTCATTCTGTATGCTGACTGACAACACATGGAGGCCTTGGCTCTGGGCAACATGGAGAGATGGTTTTTGTGGTCAGCTGTCACTCCCTGTGCCCCCTGCCTCCTCAGAGTCCTGTCGGAAGCTCTGCACTGAGTGTGTGGGGCTTGGGTGGGACCTGGGGGCTTGTGGTCAGGACTGAGGTCACCTTTCTCATGCTTGCCTCTCTTTGGTGAGGCGTGATCAGGAAGTACTGCCTTTCGTTCCTTCACCCAATGTGTGGTGCACCTGTTGTGAGCGCAGGCCAGGCCATCCCCAGGATAAGGCCCTTGGCCTGGGCTGGAGCAGCTTCTGTGCTCCGGTGCTAGGTTGGGGCCTGTGTCTGGATCCCCACAGCAAACTAGCACCTTGGGCGTTACCCCAAATAACACGTGAGGAAACCATCCAGCTGCTGAGCCCTAGAGCCTGCGCAGTCCCCACTGTCACACCCGACCCCTTTTCTGCATAGACCACCCTGGAGGACTGCTGTGTTCCGGTGCCCCAGAGGTCATAGCCGGCACCGACCCACACAGCTGAACGTGGGGCAAACGTGTGCATGGCCTCCTCGTTCCTGAACCTGTGGCAGGGTCAGCTCTTTTCTCTTCAGAAAACGGAACAGAAACTGAGTGTCAGGATCCCTGGGTTCCCTGTGAGTCCTTAGGATCTCCTGCTCTGGTTTAGAACCTAGTATTTGTGATAGTTCCTCGTCTTCTGTGTCTGTTTGTAGCTTTAAGGATTTTTATGAGCTGGAGCCAGAGAAGTTCCAGAATAAGACGAACGGCATCACACCCCGCCGGTGGCTGCTGCTGTGCAACCCGGGGTTAGCGGAGACCATTGTGGAGGTGGGTGAATGCCATGTCCAGGCCTAGCCCCGGGAAGTTGGTCTGAGGCCAGGGAGGCTGGCCTGAGACCAGGGAGCCAGTCCAAGACCCAGGAGGCTGAGTGGGTGGTCAGACCCTGCTGACTGGGCAGGGGTCTCTGTCCTTACATACTGACCTGCAGTGGCCACTAGTTATGAGGCAGAGGCCCTGGACATGGGCACTAGGCCGGTCAGTGGTCACTGGGGCCACTTGTGTAAGAGCCCGAAGCCACCTGGGCCTCAGAGGAGTACAAGTGGGCCAGGAACCTACTGTGAGAGAGGCAGCCAACTGTGCTGGGAGTATCAGCTAGAGACACAATACCACTTGCTGCTCATGTGTCAGGCTGTGTACATGTGACATGGGAGTGATAGAGGGCACAGCAGCCAGTAGCTGCAGGGCAGGGTCAGCGTCCATGGGGGTGGGGCCAGCAGCTCTGGGGGACAGAGAGCAGGGCCAGTGGTGGTGGGTGGGAGAGCAGGGCCATAGGGCCAGCTGGGAGGGGACCCCGCCTGAGGCCTGTGGTCCGGGGAGGCTCCCCTGAGAAAGCCGAGGTCTGAAGAGGGAATAGGAGGGAGCAGCACTCAGGGGGCAAATCTGTCCAGTGTCCAATGCGCCCCAGGGACGTGAAAGGCTAGGGCTTCTGTGCAGGTTGAAGGGGCGGTGAGGAGAGGTGGGTAGAGCCAGGAGACCACCAGAGCATCTGCCAAAAGCAGGAGAGTCCCTGCAGAGGCAACACTTAGGTTGGAGGGGTGGTTGGTTGTGTGGAGATGGGAGTGGGTGCCCAGGTGAGCATGGTGGCCGGGTGGGCTGAGGGCGGTAGGAGGGGCTTTGTGCTGCCATAGGGTGTCCTACATCGATACCCCTGGGAGATTAGGGATGAGGGGCTCCTGTGTTAATTGAGCACATCCTAGCTGGAGGACTTGGCACCTGCAGGGCTGTTGCAAGTGCATGGGGGTCTGACCAGGAGGTGCAGGGGCAGCCATGCCTTAGGCGTTGTCAGGGCAGGGGGGATCTGAGAGGGGATGTAGGCTGGGCTGTACCTTCCTGGCGAGCAGATCCCAGGGGAGGGAGAGGGCATGCAGAGGGTGGAGACCGAGGCTGGTGGTGAACGGAACACGTGTCCTCCTTGCATTCTCCAGAAAATCGGGGAGGGATTTCTGACTGACCTGAGCCAGCTGAAGAAGCTGCTGCCACTGGTCAGCGATGAGGCGTTCATCAGGGATGTGGCCAAAGTTAAGCAGGTAGGCCGTGCCAACCCTCCCCTAGGCCCAGTGTGCCAGCTGTGTCCCTGGTTCTACGGGCTCCTGTGTGACCCCCTTGGGAAAGGGCCCTGGGGGCCCCCTCAACTTGCCAGATGAGGACCCCATGGATGGTGGGTCATGCGACCAGTGGGCAAGTGCAGACCCCCAGGCCAGCCCTGATCATGCCTTGATCACTGCTACAATCGGCAGTTAGGGAGCCTTCTAGAAGCCGATTCCACGTGAGGCCTGCCCTGCCCTGGAGAGGCGAGAGGGGCCCTCAATGACTGCGGTGGCCAAGGCCTCTGGGCTATACTCTTTAGACCTTGGCGGGCTGGGGCTGTCCTCACAGGCAGGCATGGGTGGGCATCGTGCCAGTGTCGTGCATCCTCCCAGTCACCCAGAAATTGCTAGTCCTCCTCTGGAGTCTAAGTGGTCCTGCCCCTGTGCCTCACCTCCAACACCTCCAGGTCCTAGGCCTGCCAGGCCCTTGTGCTCCCTGGATTAGTTTCTCCTTTGTCCCCTGCTCCACTCCTGTTGGGCCCTGCTCTGCATCCTCCCCACTCCCTACTACTGCTGGGTCACGTCTGCCCCTCACCTCTGCTAGAACGTCTGGACCCAAGGAGCTCGTGGGTGACACCCTCCCCTCCCATAGGAAAACAAGCTGAAGTTCGCAGCCTTCCTGGAGAAGGAGTACAAGGTGAAGGTCAACCCTGCCTCTATGTTCGACGTGCACGTGAAGCGAATCCATGAGTACAAGCGGCAGCTGCTCAACTGCCTGCATACCATTGCGCTATACAACCGTGAGTGCCTGCGGCTCCCAACCCGGCCCAGCCCAGACCCAGGCCTTCATACAGCCAGGGCTGTATGTTTATGTGTGTATGCGTGTGTGCTGTGGTGGGTTTACTGGAAGCAGTAGCCATGTGTTCTGTGTGCTCCATACCTGACATGAGCAGGTAAACCCTCCGAAAGGCCATGGGGCTGCAAGGCCTCAGCAGACCAAAGTCATCAGTGTGGGACCCCGGTGGAGGGGGCTTCATGGGACTTCCAGGTTGAGTTTCAGGATCAGTTTGGGTTTTTATTTTAAATGTAGTTATCTTGGCCAGGTGCAGTGGCTCACGCCTGTCATCCCAGCACTTTGGGCAGCTGAGGCAGGAGGATTGCTTGAGCCCAAGGGTTCAAGACCAGGCTGGGCAACATGGTGAGACCTTATCTCTACAAAAGAATTAAGAAGTTAGCCAGGCATGGTGGTGCATGCCTATAGTCCCAGCTACTCGGGAGGCTGAGGTGGAAGGATTGCCTGAGCCCAGGAGGTCAAGGCGGCAATGAGCTGTGATTATGGCACTGCACTCCAGCCTGGGTGATGGAGTGAGACTTCCACTCAAAAAAAAATCCAGTTATTATTTCTGTGAGACTTATGGGAAAGATTAAACTTATTAGAGGCATTTAAAGTGTACTTTTCTTTTTTTATTTGGGAGTCTCACTCCTTCCCCCAGGCTGGAGTGCAGTGGCACGCACACTCACAACCACCCCAGCATCGACCTTCTGGGCTCTGACAATCCTTCCGCTTCAGCCTTCTGAGTAGCCAGAACTACAGACGCGTGCTACCATGCCCAGCTATTTTTAATTTTATTGTAGAGACGAGATCTCATCAGCTTGCCTGGGCTGGTTTCAAACTCACAGGCTCAGGCAATCCACTCTCCTCGGCCTTCCAAAGTGCTGGGATTACAGGCTGAGCCACCGAGCCCAGCCTGAAGTGTACTTTAAATAAAATAGTATAAGATGGTAAAAAATAGCATGTGTAAAATTTACACAGGGATTGTAAGTTGCTTAAGGACATTTACTCATGAGTACAAACGGGAATCCAAGGTCTCCTAATAATGAATGTGGATACTTGCTAGGTTCATAAACAAGGTATATAAACATAAACAAGTTTTGCAACGTCCAAGTCAGATACTAGGCCGGGCACAGTGGCTCAAGCCTGTAATCACAACACTTTGGGAGGCAGAGGCGAGAGGATTGCCTGAGCTCAGGGGTTCTAGACCAGCCTGAGCAACATGGCAGGACCTCGTCTCTACAGTAAATCAAAAAATTAGCCAGGCATGGTGACACATGCCTGTGGTTCCAGTTACTTGGAAGGCTGAGGCGGAAGGATTGCAAGTCGAGGCTACAGTGACTGTGAGCATGCCACTGCACTCTAGCCTGGGTGACAGAGTGAGACTCTGCCTCATAAAAAAAAAACAAAACAGCCAGATACTCCCTCAAGATACAGAATTCCCCAGAACGTTAGCCATTGGTTCCCATAACTAAGCCCCACTAGGTAGAGGTTTGTACCCGTGGGGACATGCCCCCAGTGAGGGCCCCGTGCTGCACAGGCTAAGGCTGGGCACTTCCTGGGAGCCTTGGAGCCATGTCCTCCACAGCCATGGCGGATTGTGTTTCCCCTGTGGTGTCCTGAGTCCCTGTCAGGATCAGCACTGAGTCGCAGGACCCCCTTCTTCCCAGCCTGGCCTCTGGCGGTCAGCATAACTCCATTTTTGGTGCAGGTCTTTGTGTTCTCTCCATGTGCTGTTGCTTGACTGGCTTGTTTGCTTTGACTGACATGCTGTGATTCCAGGCTAGTCACATGAGGCAGCTGTGTGTGCTCCTACTGTCTCCCTCTTGCCCCGTGTCTGCATGTGTGTACATCTGTGTAAATGTGTGCATGCACTTGAGTGTGCATGGTGTGTACACATTTGTGTGTGAGTGGTGTGCATGAGTGTGTGTGTGCGCATGTGCATCTCTCACTCCTCCAGTGTCAGAGCTCACTACTTCAACACTCCCCTTTCTCTTGTCCTTGGCTTAATTTTTATCTTGATCTGCAGATACATGCACTCCACCAGTCCTTTTGCAAAGTCTCACCCTGCACTGCTGGCTGGGTTTGTCTCTAGTTCATAACAAGGGCTCGAGGAAACAGCCTTCCCTGGGCTCTGGCTTGTCAGCCTCTGTGTGATCATCTACCAGGAAGGTCGGTCTGGCTGAGGTTGCCAGTCTTGGTCCCACTTTCTTCCCGGAGAACCTTCCTGTGGCCTGGAGGTGGGTGCTGGCGTGCAGAAGGCCGGCATGTTTGATTTTCTTGACCTCAAGAATGACTTGCTAGCACTGCTGTGTTGTGGTGTTGGCCGTTGGGACATTTTCCTTGAGTCTCCGGGTGCTCTTTGAATTCAGCAACAGATTGCATTATTTCATGAGTGTTTTCTTGAAATATGTGTATTTGCTCCCGTTGTTCTGTTTTTCTGCCTCTGGGTCTCCCACAAGTTCCTCTGACTCTTGACTTCTCGCTGGACAGTTTTTGTCCTCCGTGTCCGGTTGTGTGGTGGTTGCATCCCGAGTGCCTCCCACCCTGTGAGACTTTCTCTCCTGTACCTGCCAGTCCTCTCATCTGTCCCTGCTCTCCAGCCCCCACTCCCTGGGATCTTGCGTTTTGGTTTCCTTGTCTTCTTTCCAAGTTAGCAGTCTTCAAAGGTTTGCAATTTGTGAAGGGACTTGGTTCCACCTTCCGCTGTGGCAAAGCTGTGTGTGCTGACTTTGTGGCTATGCTCCTGGGCTCCCTAGTGTGCCTACTGGCCATGGCACCTCCCTGTGGTCTCATCTTGTTGGGAGGCTCCACCCGACGCCCAGCCCACCCTCCAAATGTCCCCTTGTGGGAAAGGTGCTCACCTGGCCTGCCTGCCCTCCTTCTCTGGTGCCTTCATGGCCCCAGGACTGGAGCCCTGACCAGGGTATCCTTCTTGGGAGACTGGCATTCCCAAGACTCTGTCCCCCGCCTGCAACTTGGCAGGAGCTACTAAATCTGGAGTTTGCATGGTTTCCCTCTTTCCTAGTTATAGTGAAATTGTCGGTTGTGCTTTTAGTTTTTCCTATTCTCCGAGCTATCCTGCTGATTTTTAGAAGTGGGAAGATTCAGAACTGAGGGACAGCATGTTCCTGCTGGAACCTGAAGGCAGATGTTAAAAGGACTCTTGCCGCCTGACTGGTTCTTGTTGGTGAGTGGCTGTCTAGGGCAGCCCCTCTGTCCCTTTTGTAAACACCTCCCTGAAATCTGCAGACTGATGGCCTCGGGAAGACAGCCTATGCAGGGCTGGTGGTGAGCCAGCATTGTGGCTGGGCCTTGTGCCCACTCTGTGCAGGAGAGCTTCAGGGGACTCCCATGCACATCCCAGCAGAGCAGTGGGGAGATAGGGTCTTGCCCAGCATCCCTTGAGGGCTGATGGCGCCATAAGCATGATACCCAAGTCGCCTCTTTTTCCTTCTCTCCGTGTTGTCAAAACAATATGTTTAAAACATGAGTGCCCCTTCCGTATTGGGCCTTGAATACTGGCCCGACCCATGAGCTCTGTGCTGGGTCTTTCTGGAAATGCAGCTGCAGCTTCCCTGAGCCCGTGGAGAAGCATCTTTGTCAGGAAGCCTGTCTGGTTTGTCATCTGTGGTCCTGGTTGGCTTTCCTCACCAGCCTAGAGTGTGATGCTGGCCTCGGTACCTGTTGCCTGTGTGTGGCAGTCTCCTAGTGGCCGTGTGCAGAGCCACAGTGTGCATGTAGCCAAACTTGCCTCCCTTGGGGTTGACCTCTGATGTTGTAGGGCAGGGTCGTGTCTGAATCTCCTCTGTTTGTCCTACAGGAATCAAGAAAGACCCGGCCAAGGCCATGGTGCCCAGGACTGTCATGATCGGAGGCAAGGTGAGGGGTTTCCTCTTCACTCCTCTGCTGATATTGGCTCAGCAGCCTGTACCTTCTCGTTCAGGCGCCGTGGCCCCCTGGGGAGCCCCTGCCCCAGTTACCAGCTCTTCAGGCATGCTTGTTGCAGGGCAGAGGGCATCAAATGGGAACCTACCTGGCTAGCTCGTGGGAGTCCCCAGTGGTCTTGTGGACCCCATCGGCAGGGTACCCTTTCTCCACATACCCATGGGATTCATGGTGCCCTTGTAGCCACAGGGCAGCTGCAGCCACTTCATCTTTCCCTGCACCCATGCAGAGCTCAGCCAGCTGTATCTGCTTTGACTGAGACACACACCTCTGGAGTCGCAGGCATCTGCTGCCCAGTCCTGGTCACATCATCATCCTCACCCACTGGGGCCTGTGTCCCCACTTTCAGCCACTTTCCCCAATAGCTTGGTCTCCCTCAAGGGCTGAGAGGCTGCTGGGGGTGTGGCATCCTTCTGAGGCCTTCCCAAGCCACAGCCCAAAGTTGAGTCTGGGCTGCGGGAGGCACCCGGCCCACCATGTGGGGCCATGGGTTGAGGCTGGGATGTTGGATGCTGGCTCCTCTGCCTTGCCTTGACTCCTGCGACGGTAGGCAGAGGGCGAAGGGTGCCTGTGGGCTGGGCCCCACCTGGTACCTTGTGCGGTCTCTGTCCCTCCCCCATCACTTACTGGGTTTGAAGCCAGTTTTGGGCATGATGTCATTTTGTCAGTTTTTCCGTGTGTGAAGTCCATATCGATATGGACTTTTAAAACCATTTTGAATGTTAATGTGAAAAATATTAACCTAGAGAGCTATAGGAAAAACTAGAAAATCCATAAACCTATTCCCCAGACCTTTTGAACCATTTCGAGGCAAATTCTAAACATTCTAACCTTTCACCCCTAAACATTCTAATCTTTCACCTATCCTCATAAAATGATGTTTTCCCCCAAAAACCCAGAATTATCTTTTGATGGGCAGGCCCTGTGTAGTCTAGGCTTCCCCTGCTAGGTGAGTGTTCTCAGAACCCATCGGCATCCATGGGCCAGCCAGCCAAAGTGTTGTGAGAGGCTGCATTTGGCTTCAGTGAAATTTTTTTGGAGATTCTTTTAACACGTTTGCCCATTTCATGATAGGTGATATATGAGCACCTGCCCACACCCCACTGAGTGTTCAGCAGTTTTTGACCAAAACAGCATGACTCCCGTGCCCCACCCTCTTTATTCACCTGATCTTGACCCAAACAACTTTCTTTTGTTTCCCTGATGAAAAAAATCCCCAGAGGGAATCCTGATGTGGAAGAGGTAAAACAAAAAATGGCAGAAGCACTAAAAGGCATCAAAATTCATGGGTTCAAAAACTGTTTCAAGCAGTGGTAAAAATGACTCAATAGGTGTATTGCGTCAAACAGAGGTACTTTGAAGGTGACTGAAGTTTAAACATGCAAGAATAAATGCAGTTTTTTATAAATAAATTCCGTTTTGAGGGCCCCCTTGCATATGCTTAAACCTTGCACATGATGACACGATCCCTCACCCTCAACCCTTCATGGGAGCCCCTCCTAGTTACTAATGTCCACTCAGGCTCCTGGGTCCAGCACTGTTAGGAAAGTCACAAATACCCCTAACAGTTTGTTTGAATCAGGCCCCAATGAGGGCCTCGTGTTGAGGTTGTCACTGTGTCTCAATTCTCTTAGTTCACACAGTTTCCTTCATCTCTACCTTTTTTCCTGGCAGTTTGTTTGTTCTAGAAGTGGGGCTGTTTTCTTCTCTAGCCTGGCATTTCTGAGGGTGTCCCTCAGGCATGTTCCAGTGTGTTTCTTGATGGTTCTAGAAGTCCTTGTTTCTTCTATCTTGTAATTTCTGGAAAAACAACTAGAATCAGAAAGTTAAACTCAGGCTGGGTGTGGTGGCTCAAGCCTATAATCCCAGCACTTTGGGAGGCCGAGGCGAGAGGATTGCCTGAGCTCAGGGGTTTGAGACCAACCTAGGCAACTTGGCGAGACCTCATCTCTACAATAAATTTAAAAAGTTACCTGGGCATAGTAGCATGGGCCTGTAGTTCCAGCCGCTTGGAAGGCTGAGGTGGAAGGATCGCCTGAACCCAGCAGGTCGAGGCTGCTGTGGCCATGAGCATGCCACTGCACTTCAGCCTGGGAGACAGAGTGAGACTCCAACTCAAAAAAAGGAAAAGAAAAGAAAACCTCAAGGCTGACACCTTTCTGGGTATGAGTGAGGTGACCCTCACAAGTGTTCAGTAGAAGCTGAGACCTTGGGCCATGTGTGACTGTGTGAGCTGCCTGTTCCACCACCAGGCCCTCGTGGCTCTGTTCATCTCTTATGGACCCAGTGACCCGAGGTTCCCCAAGGACCAGGGCACAACATTGGTACTGAATGCCCAACCCTCCTCCCCCTGCAGGCAGCACCGGGTTACCACATGGCCAAGATGATCATCAAGTTGGTCACGTCCATCGGCGATGTCGTCAACAATGATCCAGTTGTGGGTGACAGGCTCAAAGTGATCTTCCTGGAGAACTACCGTGTGTCCTTGGCTGAGAAAGGTAGCCTGGGGGGCTGCACTGGATGGAAGCCCGCTCCAGCCCTGGCAGGGGTGCTCTGCCTGTACACCCAGGTGTAGGCAGGAGGTGAAAGGCCGTGGGAGCATGCTCTGCGTGTCACAGGTGCTCAGTAGGCCCAAGGGCACCCGGACATGGCATGAGCAGAACTACCAGCCACGGCGTCCTTGGCACCTGCACCTCCCAGTGCCTGCCCTGGGTCTCCACACCCCACCTTCTGCCCCTCAGCACCTTGCTGCCCCGTGCCTCTGCTGGGGGATGTGCATGTTGCCACGGCTGTGTGGGCCCCTCCTACCCTGCAGCCAGTGCTCCTGCTCACACCTCCTGTCTGCCCTCAAGGTGCTGCTTGGTCCTCATGGGTCAGCACCTGCCTCTCCTGGGCTTCCTGAGGGCAACTTGAGCCTGATGGGTGTGTCTGGGCTGGGCCTGGAGACCCCCGGGACTTGCCCATGTGCCTTGGCCCACCTCCATCTCCCTCCTGACACTTGCTGGGTGAGGAGGCGGCAGTGGTGGCCTCCGAAGGCCCAGAGCAGGGCATCCAGCATGGGAACTGGGCAGGGCACATGATGAGTGGGCCTGGGCTGACCCACTGCCATCTCCCCTCCCAGTGATCCCGGCCGCCGACCTGTCACAGCAGATCTCCACAGCGGGCACTGAAGCTTCAGGCACTGGCAACATGAAATTCATGCTCAACGGGGCACTCACCATCGGCACCATGGATGGTGCCAATGTGGAGATGGCCGAGGAGGCTGGGACTGAGAACCTCTTCATCTTTGGCATGCGGGTGGAGGATGTCGAGGCCCTGGACCGCAAAGGGTGCGCCCTCCTCCCAGACCTCGGGCAGTGTCTGGGGCAGTGTTTAGGGCACTGGGTCGGGGAGTGGGCACAGAGGCTGGAGATGGGTCTTTGCGAACAGGCCTCCTTGGGCGGGGGTCAGTGTCCACCAAGGGCCATGTGCTTGCTGGAGTAGCTGTTCCCCTCATGAACATGGGGCCAGTTGGTCCCTTCAAGGCCTGCCTGGGGGGCCCACTGGCTTCTGTGCTGACTCCATGGCTGGTCCAGGGGCTCCTTCCTCAGCTGAGGCCCCCGCCTTTGTGGGCCACCCTGTGAGGGTCTCCAGGAGGGATGCCACTGTGCAGGGTGCTTGCCGGGTGGGGAGGTGGCAGTGGTGGCCTCTGAAGACCTGGAGCGGCACGTCCAGCAGGATGCAGCCACAGACATGTGTTGCTGGGGGCACTCAGTCAGTCTGGGTACTGACACTTGCCTGCTGGCAAGGGTCCCTGGCCTAATCTGTAATAGTTACAGAGCGCTAAAAGCAGTAACTCTTTTGGAATAGTTCTGGGTTTGTGGAGAGCTCATCTGGTCTCCTCCTGGGTCCCTGTTGGCTCACTAATGGGCATGGCATAGGAACACAGCTGACCAGCAATGGGCACTGGTGTTCACTCAAGCCCATGCTGCCTTCTGATGTCACGAGGGTTTCTGCGAACGTCCTTTTCTGTCTCAGGATCCCACCTGGATACCCATTGTCTGGTGGCAGAACTCCCGTCTCCTCCAATCCGTGGCAGCTTCTTAGTCTTTCCTTGTTTCTCATGACCTTGACATTCACGAGGAGTCCCAAGTGGTGATTACAAAGAAAAGACTTTTGTCGAAGGGTCTCCAATGCTGGGGAACCCATGAGCCTTAGGAGCATTGGGTGAACCTCAGTGTCACCTCAGGTCAAGGTTCACTGTATTGTCTGGCGAGCACACACGCGCACGTGCCCTCTGCACCCTCTTGTGCTCTTCCTGTGTGTCCCGTGTCCTGGGACATGTTGTTTGGAGCAGTGTTTAGGGCACTGGGTCAGGAAGTAGGACAGCTCACTGACGGCCACAGGCCTGATCCGGCTGGTCCTGTCTAGTCTCATCCTGAGGATGCTCCCTCAGGTCTGACCACTTGGTGGCCTCTCTCCTGTTTTTCATTTTATTTTATTTATTTTTGAGTTGGGGTCTCACTCTGTCACCCACACTGGAGTGCAGTGGCTTAATCACGCTCCCTGCAGCCTTGACCTCCTGGGTTCAGCCCTGTCTATTTTTAAAGGCTCTGCCCAGGATGTCATGGTAAGTCCAGTTCTGAGCGGCTCTCCTCCTAGGAATGCAGTGCAATTCCATATATCACTGTAGATCTGCCAGGAAGAACATTTCTGTGAACAAAGACTCGGGTGGAATGGACATCACGCTGACAGCACGTCACTGCTCGAGCCTGCCACACTCCAGGGTTTTGAGCCCCTGGGGCAGTGCTGGGGCCAGGGCTGTGCTAGGCACCAACATACTTCGTCTGCCGAGGCTGCTTGCCAGAGGCACTGCCACCAACACTGGCCTATCCCCCACAGGTACAATGCCAAGGAGTATTACGACCACCTACCTGAGCTGAGGCAGGCCGTGGACCAGATCGGCAGTGGCTTCTTCTCTCCCAAGGATCCAGACTGCTTCAGGGACATTGTGAACATGCTCATGTACCACGACAGGTGGGACTGGCCTCTGCCTGCTGGGCCTTCCCAGTTGGCTGCGGGGTCCCACGGACTCCCAGCCCTGGGTCTAGCTGCAACTCCCCCCCACCCCCCAGCTAGGAGCAGGGCTAGGCGTCTGCACTGGCCTCTGCTGATGCCTCGGGGTGCCAAGTGGTGGGACACGGTCTACACATGGTCCAGTCCCAGGTGCTTTTCGTGCACCGGAGTGCTGAGGAGGGGGTGGTGTCACCAGCTGGTGGGAGGCCCAGTAGCAGCTGTGTCCCAAGGAGGGCAGCAGGGGGAGCTAGGGCAGGACAGCTGGAAAGCCTGGGTGGGGGGTGCTGTGGCACTGTGGCAGGTGTCAGCTCACAGTGACACGCTTGAATAAAATGAGGTGAATGTGTGGTGCTGTAAGACTAGAACACAGGGAGAGTTTTCTTACAGTGCAGTTAATGCGTGGTTACGGTTCCATGAGAGCCACAGACTGCCTGAGGTGGGGCAGGGCTGGCTGCCCCCACAACAGCCCATCACCCCCAGAGACGTGTGCCCTGGCAAGCAGCCCTGCTCCATCGCTGTGGCCTGTGGGCTCGTTTTGTCTGTTACTCTTGGATGCCGGGGTCAGCCGCTGGCTTCAGGGAGGCCAGATATGACTACATGCTGGATCTGGGCTGGAGGCTGGTCCCTGCTGAGACCTGTGAGGAAGAAGGGACTTTGTGAGTTGTGGTTTTGTGAATTGTGCGTCTGACTCAGCAGTCAACAGAACATATTGTTGTCATCAACCCTGCATTTTTGTTCAGAATGTCGAGAACTCATATCGCCTTTCCTGGCTCCCACAAGCAGGGTGGCCCCTTCACCCTGGGCCCATAGAAACGGGAGGACATGGGTGGGGCCAAGTGGACAGTGCCTGGCTTCCTGCCTGGGACTCCCCTCAGGACCGTGGGCAGGCTGCTCCAGCAGGGCTCCCACCTGCCCTGACCAGTCCTGTCTCCTGTTCCAGGTTCAAGGTGTTTGCAGACTACAAGGCCTACATGCAGTGCCAGGCCCAGGTGGACCAGCTGTACCGGGTGAGTCTCTGGCCTGGGACTGGGAGCAGCTGGTGGGTCGTGTGGATGTGCTGGGGCAGGTGGTTTATCTCCAGAGCTGTTTGAGCATGTTCTTGGTGGAGGCCACCAGGGTTTGTGTCCTGACTTGCCACCCACCGGCCATGCCTGGCTTTAGGGAAGATGTCTCTGTCACTCCCTCCTGAGCAAGCAGCTCCTGATGCCAGGAATGGGAGTGGGGGCCTGAGGCTCTGAAAGGGGTTTCCTCCCTCTGTCTGGGGTGGCCTGTGCGGAGCTGCCCCTGGGTGACTGGGCACTGGGTGGAAAGAAGGTACTTGGTCACCTCCTGTGAGTGCTGGGGTCACCTGGGGCAGGTGCCTGGTGGTGGTTTTGTGGTCAGTAATCATGTGGGCTGTGCCTGGAGCTATTCGAGGGCGGGGCCTCCACCTAGGCTCCCGCCCTTCTGCCTGGTGTCTGGCACCCTTTCCGGTCAGCCCCTTTTGCCATGGGCAGTTGGCTGTGACCTCCTCCTCATCCCCCAGGTGGCCCCAGAGCTCAGAGCTGCACCAGGAGTCCCAGAGGGGCTGGGGGAGCTTGGGCTGCCAGCCCCTCCCAGGCCCACAGCCAATGCTTCATGCATCTCCCTCTGCAGGACCCCAAGGAGTGGACCAAGAAGGTCATCAAGAACATTGCTTGCTCAGGCAAGTTCTCCAGCGACCGGACCATCACTGAGTACGCACGGGACATCTGGGGCGCGGAGCCCTCCGACCTGCAGATCCCACCCCCCAATATTCCCCGGGACTAGGCGCCCCTGGGCCGTGGGCGCTTCCCTGCTGCCTCAGCACCTCGCAGTTGTCAAGCACTTTCCCGCAGCCAGTGGTCCCTCCCTTTCTCAGTGCCATGTTTCCAGGAGGGGCTGTGGGATCGAGGGTGGTCTTAGGGGTTGGCAGGAAGGGAGGCACGAGGGCTGCGTGTCTTTCTCCAACATCCTGCAGCGGCCGACGGTATTGGCTGCCTTGCCGATGGTCACCACCTGCTCCCATCTCCCCACACTGCCCCCACCCCCGCCCAGCTCCCCAAGCCCTGGCCTGCACATACTGTGAGCCTGTGTCTATAGTTTTGAACCTCTGGGACTTGGGATCTGGGCAGGTGGCTGTGATGAGACCTGGGGAAGTAGGTTTCCAAAGTCCCTGGGCTGCCAACCACAGGGTGGGACCAGTCCTGTGTGGCCTGTCCTCCCTGCCCAGCTCTGCCCTCTGGCCATGCCGGAGGGGTTAGGTCCTCTGGGCATTGTCCTCACAGCTCCCTGTCCTCCCCTGTCCTGGGCTCTGTTCCTGATGTTTGGGTCAAGGACCCAGATGGCGCCTGCCCTTTGTAGCCTGGGAGGACACTGGGGAGGGCAGCTGTGTCTGGTGCCTCGGAGGCCCTGATCAGGACAAGGCTGGAGGATGCTGTTTAGCTTGGTTTTGCTTATTCAAAAGAGAAAATAACCACATGGAAAAGAAAGTAGCTAAAATCTCTTCCTTTTTGAGCAGCTACAAGTTGTGCTTGGTCAGTGTGGTGTTGGGGGTGCCTTTGCCTGGCTGGCGGCTGGTCTGTGATTGTCCTGCTGTCCTGGGAGCCTGGGGCAGGGCTGTCGTTCCCAGCAGGTCATGCCCTCCCCACCATACCATGTGTCCTGGGGTGCGTTTTCTGTTGTACACACAAGGGATCCATGTCCCTTCCTTTCCTCATCTGGAAAAAAGGCCAAGTGGGTCCAGGGGAACCCATTTCCATGCTGCTTGGACAGCAGCCCAGTGCTAGGAGGCAGGGCTGAGCCCCCTGGACTCATTCCCTGAGGCGCATTCCAGGACAGACCTGCCTGGTACTGATTGAGAGAGAAGCTGCTGCCCTTTACTGGGAGCTGAGGGAGAACTCAGATGGAACCACTCTTCTGGAAGCTTCCACCACCATGCATGCTAGACCTGGGCCTTGCTGGAAGCTCCTCTTCGCCCCAGGCTGCAGTGCCTGCCTGGAGGGTTTGCTCACAGAGCACAGTCCACCAGGACCCCTGGGCTGCCTCTTGAATGGGGGCAAGGCCTCGGCTTTGGGCATGCCTACAGGTGCCCCTTTGCAGCACTCTGTGCACAAGGCTGCACTCCCCGCGCTGGCCCTGTGTGACCGCCACTGTGACTGCCACTGTACCACTCGCTGTTACTGCGTCGTGTGAGACACTGATTAAACCTTTATGCCTGTGGCTGATTGGTGTGGGGTCTGCGTTTTGCTCCCTGCCTGTGGCATGAGGTTCTTACAGGAAGTAGAGGGCACCGGTTGGAAGCCCAGGATGGTGCCCATGCAGGGACAGGACTGGGAGCCAGCTTCAGTTTCTCTCTCTGAATCCAGGACTTGGGCTAAATTATGGCCCAGTGTCCTGGGACTGAGGACAGAAGAGATAGTTCCCATTCCTACTGTGGGTGGGACTTAGGCATGCATGTCTAAACTGGAGGCTATTCGAAACATCGGCACCCCTAGCAGCAGGGAAGCAATGTTATCTGGGGATCAGGAGAAATGTTGGCGTTCTGGTTTGAATTATTCTCTTTTTACACCTGCTGCTTCTGCCATCTATGCCTAGCCATGGGGACCAAGACTTCCTCCCTAAATTGTGCAGTTGCAGATTGAGTCAAAAACGGGAAATGAGCTCAGGGCTCAGTAATGCCCCAAAGACCCAAGAACAGGAGCACCATGGCCCTTGACCTCAGACCCAGCAGGTTATGCAGGGCTGGCGACGCAAGACCACCTCATGCCCATGGGAGCACTGAGGTGACACCCTGGGAGTCCTTGCAGTATGCCCTCAGGGCTTCCACACAGCTCTACACCTTCCCTCTTTTGTGAGGACAGCCCTGATCACAGGTAGATCTGCCAGCCCATTTGTGGCAAAACCCGCAGGCAACACTTTCTGCCTGGACCGAGGCCATGAGCACAGTGCCATGGGGCCCTTGGGTCTCAGGAGCTTACGCCAGAGGCAGCAACTTATGCTCTGTGTGCTCTCCTCAGTTCGTTTTGTGAAAAACAGATAGCTTGTGTTTTTTTTTTTGGTTTTCTTTATATCCCACCTTATTCCCCCAACAGAGGATTTGAGGTAGGTTACGGAGACAAAAATGTGAAAAAAAGGATGGAGACTGGCCCAGGTAGAGCATGTTCCTGTTTAGTTGTCAGGAGAGCAGCTGTCTGATTTTTTTCTCATAAAGGGGTGCCCAGCTCGAGTGACCCTCAGGGCCTCACGGAGACTATGAGGGGCTGGATGGTACGTCCGCCAGGATCTGCCCTGTGGGGAGATCCGAGACCCAGAGACGGGTGGCGTCCTTCTCAGTGCTCTGGGACCACTGCAGACATACCTAATCGGGTGCCAGTTCAGGGCAAACCCTCCCAGAAGGCAGATCAGGGTGTCATAACCTGACCTCAGGAAGAGTCTGTTCAAGCCTTAGCCCTGGAGTAGGAAAGATGTTTGTTCAGATCTGAGACTCTGAGGGACTCTTAAGGTGCCTCAGAAAGGAGAGGTAACATGCACCAGCCCCCAACCCGTCCCAGCTGCTAATGCTGGGCCAAGACTTGGAGAAGCAGATGGACAAGGCCTCCCTACCACTGCTGAGTTTCTGAGCTGCTGGGACTGGACAGTTTCATAGCCTGAGGACACAAGGGAGGAAGGCCGGTTGTGAGGAGTCCTGGAGTGGCTCCAAAGTGGGCAGGGAACTGAGGGGCTGGGCTGTGGATAGGGTGCCGGGCCCAGAAGTAGGTATCCACTGTTCCTTCTTGCTCTGTAGAGAAAAAGACCAATAGACCACCACCTCGACGACTTTATTCTTAAATAAATGCTCAGTCTAAGGCCAGGTTAGATGGACAGGTGGGTGAAGTGCAGATCCAGGCACCTCCGCAGTGGTAAGTGGGCCAGCCCAGGGGAGCAGGGGTGGCCGAGGAAAACAAGCGGGTATGCAGGGCAGGAGGGGATGACTGAACCACTTGAGTCCGCTCAGTGTATGCCAGGATGGGGCAGAAGGTACTTGCTCCCCCATGTCCTCCGCAGATGGGCCTGAACCCGTGCACCCTGCAAGCTCCTGTGCCCAGCTCAGGAGGCATAGGATCCACTAGGTGACAGCCGGCTGCTGTCCCCAAGCCTTTCCAACACAGCTCAGGCTGAGTGGCAGCAAGAAGGGGAGACGGCCAGGGGCCCACCGCCACACTCCACACAAAGCCATGCCAGGCCACCAGGCACCACAGCCCTCATGATGTGCACCATCTGCCTAGCTGGCATCTTGAGTCCTCCCTCCAGGCGCTGGGCTCCAGGGTGCTGGGCTGCTGTCGGAGAGGGGGAGCAGGGCAGAGGTCTTCATGCTTCCTTTCCACGGCCAGATTCAGTGCTGGTGCTCAGGTTCCGACTTCCCCAGGAACTCCCTGGAGCAGAGGACAACCAGGAGCCATGTCACGTGAGCTCAGACCAGAGATCCCATGAACCACACTCTGAGGAGGCAGAGGCCACACAGAGATGGGCAGTGGAAAGCCTGTGAGGACCTCACTCCCACATAGAGAAATACTCAAGCAGGGCACAGATGGCACCACCCTTGCTTCAAGTCCCAGCACAGAGAAATAAAGACAAGGTCAGGACCTGCTGTTCTTGATCCTGAACACTAAGCTGTACTCTGGTCTGAATTTTCTATAATATATTCCTTTTATAACAGGGAAAATTAGAACGCCAAACCAAACCCATACTTTTAGCCACAGCAGACTTCTAAAGGATGTGGCTTTGCCCTGGAACTTTCCAAGGCAGCTGGAAAAGAGCTGAGGTTTGCAGCAGAAACTCATAGGGACACACCTCACTGGGGCTGGTGCAGGCAGCCAGGCTTAGTCTACTGCAGGGAGAAACTGGCATCTAGGCTCACTTTTTGGAGCCTCCTGGGACAACACAGCAAATATGACAGACACTACTAGTGCAGTGATCCCCACAGGCTCTGTGCTTAGAAGCCCAAGGAAAGCACAGTTCCCTGTCCCATGTACAGGGAGCTTAAGCATCTTACTCTGGCCACAACCAGGCAGTTGGTTGACAGGGACTGGTCCAGTTGACAGGGACTGGCTGGCCACAGCACAGAAGCCAGGGGCGGGAGCCATCCCAAACTTGTTCCTTTGTCACCATTACCAAGACCTCACTGTTGTACAAGGGCCCTGCATCTAGCCTAGACAGGGCCCGGGACAGCTGGGAGCAGTCTCCTGAAAGCAGCTGGGGACTTGGCCTTCTAAGGAACAGGTCCAAGGCCAGGGCCCCATGTGCTCCTGTGAGTGTGTAGGGAGCAGTCTGGGACCTGACCCAGCATGGCCATGCACTTCCTGTCACGTGTCCTGTAAGGTGACCCATGTACACCGTGTATCTGCACCCAGTGTATGTCCATGTAGGCCTGTGCAGCATGGAAGTCACCACTCTGGGACTAGAGGGAATAGCCAGGGTGGAAGGAGACAAGTACCCTCAGACCCTCTGCAGTTGAGAGGGAAGGCTCTGAATCACTGTGGTTCTTGGCCCCACTGAGCCTCCAAATTCTTCAGCAGCTGCTGCCGGCCATGTGCCTGGGCATGAGCCACCGATGCCCAGACAACGCTCCCAGGGAGAGAGGAGGGTCTCACCTCAGGATCCGAGGAAGCTCGGGGCTCTTATAGATGTACTTATGCCTGTATCCGAGGTCTGAGTGGAAGGGGATAAACTGAACTTTGAAGTCTCGGAAGCTTCGAGATGGTGCAGCGATGTTGTAGAGCTGGGGAGAGGGAGAGACAGGGTCACAGCCCACTGACAGCATCTGGCACCGGGGCCCGAGGGAGACTTGCCTGCAGCCTTTTCTTCAACAAGGACCAGTCGACAGAATGCCCCAGCCCTCTGTCTCTGCTGCTCTGGCAGCCTGTCATGGCCAGTGGCCTGTGGTGGGCACCTAGAGGCTTGGGGGTGGGCTGGGGGGCACAGGACCCCAGGCTTGGCATCTCAGCGCAACTCCATTCAAAACCCTCCCTCTGTCCTCAAACTTCCCAGACTGCCCTTCCTTGAGGGAGCGGCCAGGCTGTCCTGGGACGGCTCCGATGGTAGGAATGACAGATGAAGGACATGTGCCTTAGCTGTGTGCTCCCAAGCCGAGGCAACCAGCATCAGCTCCCAGGAGCCATCTCAGCCCCTCTCACCCCCCACAGATGAGGGCATGCTCTATGTTCCTCCCAGTGCCGAGTGGCAGACACCTGGGAAAGGAACAGCCCTCTAGGCTTCCCTGCCCCGCCATGGAGGAGCCAGGCAGCATGCTCAGACCACTACAGGCTACACATTGAATCCTGCTTCCTGGCAGCAATGTCTAAGCACATGTGGCAACATGCTGTGCTTCTGGTCTCGTATAGAGCTGAGGCAAGAAAATAGTCTAGAGGGTCCCACCTGGGACCCTGCCTTGAGGCTGGGATACCCTCTTCATACAGGGCTCTTTCCCTTCAGCCAGTCATTGATGAGCCCCCACCTGCCCTCAATTGGCCTGTGTAGGCTGGGCGCCACCTGCTTATGTTGAAGGCATCTCTGTGGATGGCATCACTGGTCCAGCCCTGACATCAGGCCTCTGCTGCCCACCCCAGGGAGATGTGGTGACCTGGTGTGGCCCACGCCCAGCCGTGCTGCAGTGCGCAGGTAACACCTCCCCACCCACCAGCACCCAACCTGGCCCACAACCGAGTCTGCATGACACCTGCCACACCAGAGGCAGAGGCCCAGGACACTCACCTTTCTGCCGAGCTGAAAGGGCACCACCGGGTCGTCCTCGGCGTGCAGGATGAGTAGGGGGCAGGAGATGTGCTTCACACTGTGGAAGGAGGAGAGGTCTTGACTCAAACCAGGGAAGGGGCAGGGCCACCCGGCCCTCTGCCCACAGCAGGGATCTAGGTTCAGGCTGTGCTTCACCGAGGCACTTAACAGCCCGAGGATGGCTGGGTTTTCTTTTATTAGAGAATTAAAAGCTAACTTTCCAGTTGTTTCTAGCAACATCTATTCCAGTTGGTGACAAGTGTCAATCAAATCTAGAGATCCAGTCATTCACCAAGACTTGCCCCCCACATGTTCTGAAAATTTAAATGGACTGTTTTACCAATAGATCTATTCTTTTTTTTTTTTTTGAGTTGGAGTCTCACTCTGTCACCCAGAGTGGCCTCTCTCGGCCACCGCAGCCTCGATCTGCTGGGCTCTGGCGATCCTTCCACCTCAGCCTTCCAAGTAGCCGGAATTACAGGCATGCGCTACCACGCCCAGCTGATTTTTTTGATTTATTGTAGAGAGGAGGTCTCGCTGCCCAGGTGGGTCTCGAACCCGCGGGCTCAGGCAATCCACTCACCTCAGCCTCCCAAGGCGCAGGATTACAGGCTGAGCCACCAAGCCCGGCTAGATCTATTCTTTAAAAGTTACACAATAATACTTACAAACGAATGATTTACATGGGCCGAGAAACTTATTGCAAATGGATGTTACTAGGAATCTGCTAGTAAAGAAAGTCAGTGCCCGCTAATGAATCTCTGGTGTAAATGACATTAAAGGTTGCTCCAGCTTTAAACATTTACAAGTGAATTAAAATTTTCAGTAGGTTCACTAAATCCAAATCCCCTCAGCAAGCCACATTACAGAGGGACAGGCTGCCAGGACAGCAGGGCCAGGGTCCTCCTGGGATCTCACTGTGGGGATGCCTGACTCACATTTCCACCTGAGTCCCGATAGGGCTGTGCGCCCCTGAAGGCAGCACTGGCACTCCTGGCACATCAGCAGGACCCAGCAGGGAATGCTCCCATCCCCGAGACGCCAGCCCTGGGCACCTGTCTATGACAGTGGTGTGAGCACCTCTTGTTCCTGGTAGAGTGCTCTTCATGTGCATGTCCCTGTGGCCTGGGGCTTCAGGGGGCAACAGCAAGGAAGTGGCACAGACCCCCGCCCACCCAAGCTCAGGAAAGTCCCTCTGTCCAGTGACATGAAGCTGGGCAACCCTGCCACACGTTCAGCCAGGAGCAGCTTCCGGCATGGTGCTTGCCTGTGTTATCTATTGAGTAACATATTTACAAACAATCAGGGCTTTTGCTTATAATATCTGTTCAAATCTTAGTTTATTCTGGGTTTTTTTTTTCTTTTTTTTTTTTTGAGTTGGAATCTCACTCCGTCGCCCAGGCTGGAGTGCAGTGGTACGCTCATAGCCACCCCAGCATCGACCTGCTGGGCTCCAACGATCTGTACACCTCAGCCTTCCAAGTAGCCAGAACTACAGGTGCATGCTACCATGCCCAGCTAATTTTTTATTTATTGTAGAGATGAGGTCTCACCAAGTTGCCTGGGCTGGTCTCGAACCCGTGGGCTCAGGCAATTCATTCGCCTGGGCCTCCCAAAGTGCTGGGATTACAGGCCGAGCCACCGGCACAGGCCTGTTTTTTTATTCTCAGAATCAAAACATACTTGAAAAATATTCAGCTTTTTCATATTGTTTCAAAAGTGCAGATTTTTCAATGTTAACTGAATATTTATATAAAGTTTTTTTATTTCCCTCTTTTTTGAAGAAATTAAAATCCATGAAATAAAAATATCACAAAGATAATGTCAACAGAATCTGGAAATGGTTTTAAGAGTCCTTTACTAGATTTTTTTAAACTTTTGGTTTACCTACCTGATAGAATTTTTTTTTTTTTTGAGTTGGAGTCTCTCACTCTGTCGCCCAGAACGGAGTGCAGTAGCACACTCAAAGCCACTGCAGCCTCAACCTGCTGGGCTCAGGTAATCCTTCTGTATCAGCCTTCCAAGTAGCTGGAACTACAGGCACACACCACCACACCCAGCTAATTTTTTGATTTATTGTAGAGATAAGGTCTTGCCAAGTTACCCAGGCTGGTCTCGAACCCAGGCTGGTCTCGAACCCCATGGGCTCAGGCAATCCTCTCATCTCAGCCTCCCAAAGTGCTGGGATTATAGGCATGAGTCACTGTGCCTGGCCAGAATTATTTTTAATAATAAATTCTGTAATATCTTTTTATAACCAAACATAAATGGCTGAGGCAAAGGCATTTTTTTGAGTGACGGTTAATATTATTGCTTTAACATATGCCCAAGAGTTCTGGTTTTGACTATTTTCAAATAAAACAACTAGGTGAACAAAATATGTAATTTTAGTATTGCTGCAGTTCTGTCATCTTTTCATGTTTCTGATTTCTTCCTGCTACAGCTCTCTGTATGGTTCTCCCTTTTGCAAGACTTGCTAGAGAACCACGCAAGTGTCTGAACCCCACCCTGTTTGGTAACTGCAACTGAAGAGGCTTACCCTGGGGGTTCTCAGTGTTTTTCTAAATTGAAAAATTAGCTCTCTATCATAGTACTCACTTTTCATCATTCGCAAATTTAATTCCACTGCTTGTAATAGGATCGAGGAAGAACCAGTCAAACCCAGGGAAGTATCGATATATCTGAAGACAAAATGGGAGCCATTTTCAGAAGAATTAAGACATACACATGACTCGAGGGTCAAGGGTGCAGACAGTGTAAGTCCAGGGATTTACAAGGCATATCCTTAATGACCTGTCCCTGAGGGACCTGGGGTGCCATGCAGCCAGGGACTGCTGGAGCTGTGCCCGGGGCACCTCCCACCCCATATGCTGGCTTTGCTGCTGGGGACAGAAGAGTCACTGGCCAGGCCCACAGACCAACTGTAGTAGGGGCTGCCCAGCGGACAGGCCCCCCCACATCTGAGCAGAAGCCATAATCTAGCACAGACAGCAGGGCTGCCACCCCTGAGAAAGTGGGGCTCACAGTGGTTTCCTCACATGATTTGAGAAAAACAACACAAAAAAGCAGGTAATAAGACACAATCCCCACCACTACACAGTATGTCCATGTAACAAATATACATGTGTGCCCCTGAATCTAAAATAAAAAGTTAAATCTTAAAAAAAAAAGGAAGGTAAAATAAAGGGCTCTTCTGGTCTGAGTAGAGCAGGGTGAGGCCTGGACAGACAGATGACACCAGCTTCAGAGCACATGACCAAGCAGGAACACTGGAAGCAGTAATGTGTGGGGGAAGAAGAAAACCGCCAGGCTTCAGAAGAAGCTCCCAGGCTCTTTCCAGCTGGGGAGAGCAAGGGTTGCAGGGCTCTGACCCCATGAATCCCCACCAGGCTCCACAGGGAGGACAGACTCCCCAGACCATGGAGCCCAGCTCTCCATCACTGTTTGTCACACGTGGCGGCTGCACTCCCGCAGACCGAGGAAGTCTGATGGCAGCAGCCCTTGGCTGCACTCATGGCAACCAGACCTGCAGGTGATGATGCCACAGATCCTAACCTGTCCCTGCCCTGCTATAAGTCACAGACTTCTCAGGCAGTTCTGCAGGCAGCCCAGTGCCTGGAACTAGGGTTAAGGGTTTTAATAAAATCTGCATCTGCATTCGTTAGAGTGTTTACACAGTTATTTTTATCCTGTAGTTATTTACTTATAGTGATTTTATAGTAATGAATCATGAAAGTAATCTGTACTTGCCACTGAAAATGGATGGCTCTTGGCTTCTTCGCGGATATTAGTGAATGGAGACTCCAATATAAGAGCATCTGGCGGTGTCTCTAGATAAATATAAAAAACAAACAGGGAACTAAGTGGGGTGCAGGAAGCCGGCGACGAGGACAGTCCATGGGGTTCTGAGGGACCCCAGACAGGATGGGGAGTCCAGGCCTGCCCTGCCAGCCAGTGCTGCCCGTATCTCCTCTGCCCAGGAACCTCTCTGTGGCTGCCCAGAGGTGAGAGGCACCCAGGGGACCCAAGGAGGCCCCGGCCACTCCCGAGAGCCACGCTTGCTGATGATGCCTAATAGGAGCCAGGCCCGTGAGGCTATAGGGAGGGCAGGGTGGGCAGCCCAGGGTCCCCCAACTCCTGGCTTGCAGCAGGCCCTTACCTCGCTCACAGAGGCGCCGCACCAGATTTGTAGCCACTCTGGAAAAAAGAAAAATGGTTCAGTTGAATTATGATAATGGTGGTTTCACATGAGTCAGTTCTTATGCCAGAAGTTCCCAGAAAAGCTGCAGGACCCACAGAGTCATCAGGGACTCAGGGCAGACTGGAAGGAATGAGGATGTCCCGGGACTGGGGGGTGGGGCACGGCTACTTGGCTGTCGGCTGGCCCCTCCAACGGGGATGGCAATGACAGTAGGCCTCCATGCCCTGCACCTCTCACTACCCAGCACCCCTAGCTCACCTCCTCAATGTGGGCACTGCTGGGTCAGGAACACCACAGCCAGGGCTGTCCACTGGCCAGGGAAGCCTGGATCTGCCTGCCCTTTCCTGGAGCCCCCCAGCCTCTTGCCATCCCAGGACTACACTTGGAGTACCTGCCGACAGGCATGGGAACTGCTGGTGCTCCTCGCCCCTCAATCTTCCCACAAGGGGCAGAGTGGCCTAGGCCTGTGGGACGCCATCCACGTGAGCCACTGCAGCAGGGAAAGGCAGCAGATGGGATGAAAGCCTGGGTCCCCACAGGGGCAACGAACACCAGCAGGGGCAGCTCGGGCTGGCCATGGTATAGCTCCAAACACTTCCTGTCTCAGCCACATAGGCTGCAAACCGCCTACCATTCCCTCCCTTGGCTCTGAAGACACCTCCTCCTCAGGGCTGCGGCCCCTGCCAAGACACCTCTCCCTCGACTGCCCACATCCATCCTGGACATCTTTGTGGGCTCCTAGGTACCTACCTACCTCCCAGCACCCCCAGCAGGGGCAGGGCACAGGGCTGGCTGGGACTAATGATGCCACAGGGCCCAGAGGCAACCAGGACAGCTTGGGGTCATGGCTCTCTGCAGACCCCGGCTGGAAAGTCACCATGAAGACCTGCTCCTCCTAAAGACCACCTCCCACTGAGAGTTCTTACCCAGTGCCCAGGGAATGGCCCCAGATATACACAGGGTTGTCACCACTTCTTGCTTTGATCCAGTCAAAAACATGGAGTGCATCATATGTCATTCCCCGCTCTGACGGCACTCCTACTGAGTCACCCCAACCTGGGAGGGAGAAACAGGAAAAACCCCAAGAGGAAGAGGAAGTCAAAGGCAGTTCAAGAAACCTGGACACCCCCCCGCAAGGGCCAAAGCCAGCAGAGAGTGGCCTGCCCTTCCTGAGCCTCATCTCACCATGCTGTGGGCAGGGCAGGCAGCACCCACGTCCCCTGCAGCACTGTGAAGGAGCCCAGCAGTGACCCTCGCCTGCCCCTGCTGACTGGATGAACCAGAGGTCCCCTCATGGGTCACTCTATGTTGGTGAGCTACAGATGTGAGTGGTGACTCGCAGGATTGCTAAGTCAACAAAATGATCCCAGAGCTTCAGATGCTGCCCCGCAGAGACTGCCACAGACAGTGCGTCCTTAAGCCCAAGCCAGTGGCTCTCCTATCTCTCCTGAAGGGTAGCCCTCCCTCTCTTTTCTTCATAACAGTCTCTGCCATTCCTCCTCCTCAGTCCTATGAGGCTCCCACCTCCTCAGTCTACAACCCCTGAACCCACATGGCTTCCACATGCACCCTCCCTCATCTGAGTCCCGCCGAACAAGTATGTGGGTGGGGTGGCCACTAGTGGGACACCAACCTCCTCAGCACCTAGAGCTCAGTAAGGGCAGACCCAGGGTGGACCAGTGAGAGTCCAGCCTACTCAGGGCCCAACAAGGAGACAGGGTGGGGAGTTGGGAGACATCCAAGACAAGGAGGAGATTCCTGAGTCCCAGGCAACTCTGACCCAGAAAGGGAAGGGGGTTGGTTCACCTTAGGGTCTGAGCATCTGGCATGCATATCAGAGGAAAGGTCACCAGCACTGCCTCCAGATGACAACCCCCCACGTCCCCTCCCCCAGCATCCAGCAAAGGTCAAGTGCAATTGTCTGTGCAGCAGCCCAGTATGAGTCACCATCAAATGACTCGAAAGCACCACAACATGCAGAAAGAGCAGGTTCTGCAGTGTAAGCAAACCCCACAGTCAGAGCAGGACTGGCCACTCCCTGCCTCATGCACCAGAGGAGGGAAGGGGCAGTGTGAAGGGCCAGGCCAGACCGGGAGCTCAAGACACCCAGCAGGAGTCAGGGACATGGGGAACATGAGGCAGAGACACAGGGACAGAGACAGAGATAGAGACAGGGACAGGGAGACAGACAAGGACACAGGGACAAAGGGACATGGACAGAGAAAGGAATGGGGAGACAGAGATAGAGACAGGGACAGGGAGACATAGAGACAGGGACATGGGGACAGACAGGGACAGGGAGACAGAGACAGAGAGAAACAGGGACAGAGAGACAGACAGGGACAGTGAGATAGGGAGACAGATAAAAAGAGACAGGGATGGGAAGACAGAAAGACAGACAGGGACAGGGAGACAGACAAAATGACAGAGACAGAGATAGAGACAGAGACAGACAGGAACAAGGAGACAGACTGAAAGAGACAGGGATGGGGAGACAGATAGAATGACATAGATAGAGACAAGGAGATAAAGAGACAGAAAGACAGAGACATAGGAGCAGAGAGGTAGGGACAGAAACAGAGGAACAGACAAAGAGTCAGAGAGACAAGAAAAGAGAGACAGAGTCAGGGAGACAGAGAGATGGGGCAGAAGCAGAGAAAGAGACACAAAGAAAGAGAGATGGGGCAAAGATGGGGCTAGTGGTCTCTAAGACCACCTGGAAAAGCAGAGACAGTAAGGACAGAAAGGAGCATTTTTGTGGGTTTCCCTCCTAACAGAAGCATGGGGGGCAAAGAGGCCACCCCCTCACTACCCTGACACTCATAAGGTAGAATGTCCATGGTGACATCAAACTGAGTCCTTGATCTGCTCTGTGGCAAGCCCTGGCTCATCCAAAAAAGCAGAAAAGCTGAGGGCAGAAGATCTGTCTTCTCTGCTGTGTCACATCTTCACGGCTTTGACCAGACAAGTTGCATTGAGCATAAAACCTATCTGACATCACTGGGGAAAGTCTGTGTCCAGTCAGGAAAAAAGGCTGTTTTCTACATGCGAAGTGTTACTGACAGGGCACACACTGGGGGCTCCAGGTGCCTCCACCGGGGCTGTGTCAGGAAAGCTGGCACCTAGGACATGCATTACTGAAGACCCCCATTCTGTCCCCCGTGCGACAAGGCTGCCGCTGCCACAGGACATAACCTAGCAAAAACAAGCACTAGACTTGTGCCAGACTCGCCCCAATCTCTCAGAGCAATGCCCGTCAGATACCACAGGAGGGTGAGGTGCCCCAGACACACATTCAAAGAAATCTCACCTCTGTAGTCAAAGGTGACCACGTGGTAACCAAGGGAACTCAGCACCTGCAACATGAAAACAAACATCGCTGGCAGCACAGCCAAGTGTCATTAACTGAGGGCAGCCTGCCTGACTGGGCCATCGGCTGTCCCTGTGCCATGCACACAGTGGGGACCCCACAGACATTTCAACATGCTGCTTGATTCCCGCCTGGGCCTCAGGAAACCCCGATGCCACCGCTGTCAGGGACTACCAACTACCTCCACCTGGGGAGTGTAGGCAGGACACCACTTCCCACTGCTCAGACGGTCAGGGGACCCAGCACAAACTACTGCAGTTCCCAGAAGGGAGTACCACATTCACTCATGTCCCTAGGACAGATAGCTCCTCCAGTACTGCAACATGATACAGGTCCCCAGGAAGAGGATGCTGTCACACAGAAACCTCATCTAGAGACTCTCACTGCAACCCAGTATTTCTCAGATGTTGGACTCAAACTCCTGGGCTCAAGCAATACTCCTGCCTCAGCCTCCCAAGTAAAGGAGCTGGGACAGGAGCACACCACCATGCCTGGTTAATTTTTTATTTTATTTATTTACTGTGTTACCCAGGCTATTCTTAAATTCCTGGGCTCAAGCAATTCTCCTGCCTTAGCCTCCCAAAATGATGGGGTTACAGGCGTGAGCCACCGCACCCAGACCCACTATTTTTTAAAGCCTTGTGGACTAGCTGATCCCTCTCACACACTCCTGATCATTCCTCACACACCCCAGCCCTGTGCCCTCTCTGGGTTGTGCCCGGAGCAATGTGGGAGGCTCACCCACCACCACGTCACCCAGCATCACTGCTCCCCTCTTTAGGAAGGGAGCTGGGAGCTTCCCTAGGGCAACCTGTGCCTCCCTGCCAGCTTCCAGTTTCCTGCAGAGCCTACACCCAGGGCCAACCTGCTCCAAGCACCACTGTTGGCCTAGTCAGAACGAATCGCTTCTATTATAGAACCTCAAAGATGGCCAGCAGCCTCCCCTTTCCCAACCTGGCCATTTATTCAAGGGCAGAAACCCCTCTAGCAGCCCAGAGCAGGTGAGTTCCTCTGTCTGTGTCACTTTCTGCCCTGGACAAATGCAGATGTCCTCTGGGGGCACACGGGGATGGGTGTGAGCCTGAACACTGCTCCTGCAGCCTCCAGAGCCAAACGCCCCAGGGAAGAAGGAGATAAGAAAGATGATAATCTGTCTGTCCAGCCATGGCACCTTCGGCCTGGGAGTCTTGGGCACTGCTGGGGTGAGCCTTCAGGTCAGCCTCAGAGACCATGGGCTTCTTTTTCATTTCATGTACAAGAAATACAACATTTAAGAAAACAACAAACGCCTTTCATGCAGTTTCCAGTTTCTGCCCACAGTCTTCCAAGCCCAGACACTCTGACTGTGGAGCCTAGCCCAGTGACAGGCAAGGCCACAGCAGAGCTAGCTAGGGCCTGCCTCCAGCATGCTCCCCACAGGTTGTGTTAAAAAGCTCCATATACATATACACAATGGAATACTAAGCAGCCATAAAGAAAGACAAACATATGGACTTTGCAGCAACTTGGATGGATTTAGAGTCAATCATACTCAAGTGATCTATCACAGAAACAAAGAACAGAGTACCATATGTTCTCACTCATAAGTGGACCTTGAACAGTTACTATAATACTATAAGAAAGGAATTGGCAGTAGTGGGAAACTGCTAGGGAAGGGGGAGGGTGGGATTGGCAGTTGAGGGAAACTGCCAGGAGAGGGAGGGGCACACCTCATCAATAAGGGTGCCTACATAAGAACATTTGTATAAGCCAGGCTCGGTGGCTCAGCCTGTAATCCTGCGCCTTGGAAGGCTGAGGTGAGTGAATTGCCTGAGCCTGCGGGTTCGAGACCCGCCTGCCCAACTTGGCGAGACCTCATCTCTACAATAAATCAATAAATCAGCTGGGTGTGGTAGCATGCGCCTGTAGTTCCAGCTACTTGGAAGGCTGAGGCGGAAGGATCGCTGGAGCCCAGTAGGTCAAGGCTGCGGTGGCCGTGAGTGTGCCACTGCCCTCCAGCCTGGGTGATGGAATGAGATTCTGATTTTTTAAAAAAAGAACATTTGTATACCTAACCCTGAATTGTACCCAACATCTTTAAAATAAATAAATTTAAAAAAAAAGCCCCACAATGGCTAGTTCAAACTTAAGAGTTTCCCTTCAGGAAGGAGCAGCCAGGAACAGTCTGTACTCACCTTGTAAAGCTCCACGCGGTGGTCACCTCCTCTGTAGAAGCAAACAGGAAGTGGGCATTAGTGCGTCCTCTCAGAATTGGCCCAGGTCAACCCCAGGGGGCCCGGAACCTCGGTGACTTGGTCCCGCCCATACCAGGGAGGGTCCAATGGTGGATGGGTGACCTCTTCTCGGGTCCCCTAAGGGGCCCCACGCTTGCCTCTGGCAGTATCACGCCAAGAAGGGACAGTCTTGGCACTGAGTGGAGATTTCTTAATTACTACTTTTATGGTTATGCTCCAATACATGATGCATACCTACAGCCCCAAATGCAAGGGAGACAGCACAGTTCATTCCTACTTGGCCATCCAGATCCCAGTGTTCAGGGACACCTGCATCCATGGAAGCTGTGGCGCTGACCACAACCTGCACAGGCATCTCCCTTCCCCTCCACGCCTTGGCCAACTCAGGACTCTGCTTAGCAGTGGGTTCCCGTCCTCGTCTCCTGGTCACCACAGCTCTGTCCCACCTGCCGCTACTTTCTGCTTGCTGCCTCGGCCAGCCTGCACTACAGTTCTTCATGTACATGTGCTCTGCAGGTGGGACATGCTCCTAGACACGAGGTGTGTATAACCAGTGTTTAGCCATGACCTTGGCGGTTGTTGCCGAGTAGTCTGAGAACGGCCTTATGGGTGGTAACAGCGTCCCAGCCCTCACCAGCAGACAACAGCTTTACTGGTACATCTTACTACAGGGCCATGTGCTCTGCACACAGCTAACCATGTCTCATGTCTGCACTTCCTTGCTGAGGCCTCACTAGGCCCATCCCACTTCCTGCCCAGTTGATGGATAGATCCCATGGCAGGGTGTTTCCCTTCTTTACAATGGCAGTTTGACATTCCAGGTGCTGGGGGCTTGTTGCTGAGAGGAGACAAGGATGAGGCGGAGGAGGAAGCCAACTGAGCACAGAAACAGAAATACAAAGCAAGGAGCAGCAGGCCCGGGAGGAACACCGCAGAATGTCTTCAGTCATCCCTGCAAGATTTTGTAGTGGCTCTTCTCTGAATTTTCCCTGTTTCCCACGTTGAACAAAAAGGAAAGGGACCAACAGTCCCAGGGCCTAGGCTCAGGGAGACCCAGTGGCACCTCCTGCAGATAATAAAGCCCCCTGTGGTGGAGTCTGGCCAGAGAAGGGGCTCAGAGCATGGGTGAGGCCTGCGGGAGGTGACGGTTGCAGATGGGACAGAAAGCAGGTAGGGGGGCTAGACCTGCAGCCAGGTGGCCTCTGGAGAGCAGGAGGGACAGCAAGCCTCTGAAAGCTCCTTTCAAGTATCAAGTGCTAGACAGGTTCTTTTTGCTTTTTTACCACGTGATCAGCTCTGTAGGGATGAGCTTTGTTCACGGTCAGTTACACAGTCGTATGGCTTCTAGAAAGATGCTGCAAGAGCCACCAGCAGCCACTTGCTGTTTGAAAAGCAGATGAGAAGCATGCCGCAGCTTATCCCAGACACAAGAAAGCAACTGCACCACAGCCCACAGCCCAGGCTGACACTCACTCCGCCCTGTCCCCACCGGCTCCCCTGCCCCTCACATGTGAACTAGGGAAGCTGAAGGAACAGTGAGCTGGTGGTGTGCAGACGAGGTTTTGTGGAGAAAAGGCATCCCTTGGCCTCTTGCAGAGGCTCTTCTGAATGGCAGGCCCCTGGCATAAAAGAGCACCATGCAGTTGTCAAGGCGGGGAGACTGACACCAGTATGGGCTAGAAGGATGAGCCCTGAGTCCACATGAGAAAAACACACAGGGCCAAGCTGGGTGGGCTGACCCACCAGCACGCGTGTAGCTCGCAGACAGACTGGCAGGGCCATGGAGCCAGTGGAGCCATGGTGGAAGCAGAGCATTTCCATAGCGGCCAGCCTGGAGGCCCACCCAGCCCAGCACACCTTGTGGACCTTTCCCCCAGCCTCCACCTCCTGCCCCTTCCTTCGCAGTATTCACTGCCTTTTTTCCAGGAAGTGCCCCTCCACCTCCCCAGTCCACTGTGGCTCCAGCACCACCTGTGCTACCCCAGAGCCATCACACAGCTGATGCAGACCTGCCCACACTCCAGACCGGGTGAGAGACACAGAAGAAACAGGGAAAATAGTTGCCTGCATGCCAGATGCTCCTTCCCCGAGGCAGAGCTGCATCCACAGTCCAGTGTCTGAGCAACACTGAGTTTGCTCCCCACCTCTCACACTGGCAGACACTCTGCCCTCTGAAGTGACAGCAGGAGGAAGAGAACATCCCCCTGGTGAAGCTGGTCAGGGAGACTCAGCCTCTGCACTCAGCCCAGGGTGCAGCTCCACATGGGGCCTTCTCTGTTCCACACAGGGCCAGGGAGACCACTCATCCACCCGCACATAGCCCTGCTAGGCTCTGGGCCTGTTGGAAACATGCTCCATGTAAAGTTCCCCTAAACCCCTTTCCCATCCCATGAGAAACTGCCTTTCCTTTGTTCTTGGGATGCCCTCCCCATGTAGTGGGTCATAAGCTCGATTTTGGGGGACCACAAACTTGCTCTTGGTGGACTTGGCCAACTGAGGATGTACCCTCCCCAAAAGGAGCTGAGCCCCACAGGGAAGACACACCATGCTGTGCAGGCCTCTTTCCCTTACCTGGTCCCTGCATTTCCGTGCAGGTACAGAATGATGGGGTGGTTGGAAGCCAAGGCATCCTCATACCACATCTGGTCCTTCCCTTGGGCATTCTTCCACCAGACAGCAGGGATGGTGTGCCTGGGGACAGAGCGGGGTTGGGAGGGGCCTGGTCAGATGCTCCTCCACACACATGACAGCAACTGTGAGCAACTGCTATAAGCCAAGTGCAGACAGTAGGGAGTGGCAGACCCTGATGACGCAAGGATAGATGAGGGGGTTACAAGCTGTCTCCTTCACTGGAACAAATAACGAAGGTGCTGCAGGTTACAAGGATGGCTGCAACAGTTTCAGAAGGTGCACTGCTGGCTGGTACATGGCCTCTTTGGGCCGCAGAGGCTGGCACTGGAAGCAGGTGCGAGTGGAGTGGTGGGGGGCGGGGTGGGGGCAATGTCTTTCCTTATGAACAGGGAGTCCTGAAAGGTGAGACTTAGTCTGCAGCACTGCCCCCTCCCCCTCTGCAGTGGGTCTAGGATGGGCAAGCACATGATGCAGCCCTGCCGGGTAACAGTACCCCTCCAACTGCCCCGTGTGCCCAACTTATTCATACTGTCCACAGTCGAACTCATAGAGGATTTTAGATAGTGCAGCTGTTGCCTGTGCTGACTCAGTCATGCTGATCTTTGTGGGTTAGGCAAGGAACCCAGCTGGCACCACTGCTAACAGCAAGCAGGTCCCCATGCCTGGCCTGCCCACACACCATCCTAAAGCAGACCCGCAGGTACACAGGCCACGTGGACATACTCTTGTTAGGCCCCATGCCCAAACAGGCAGGCGGAGGATGCAAGTCTATTTAGCCAAACCCTCTCCAAAGAAATACTAAGGTTCATTTTAACACAGACCAAATTGATTACTGTTAATCACTAGAAAGGGTTCGAATTAGTAAGGTTTTTCTGTAAAACTTATCTAAATTCATTCTGAATACCAGTGACAAGAATCTTTAAAACCAACTTCTTATTTTCTAGATTTTTTTTTTTAAGTCAAGGTCTCACTCTGTTGCCCAGGCTGGAGGGCAGTAGCACGATCTTGGCTCACCGCAGCCATGGCCTCCTAGGCTCAGGTGATCATTCCACCTCAGCCTCCTGAGTAGCTAGGACTACAGGCATATACCATCACATCTGGATAATTTTTTTATATTTGTAGACAAGATCTTGCTACGTTGCCCAGGCTAGTCTCGAATTCCTTGGCTCAAGCAATCCTCCTACCTCAGCCTCCCCAAGTGTTGGGATTACAGGCATGAGCCACCACACCCGGCCTTCAGACCTGACATGTCAGCATCTCATTTCTAATGTATATCTCTCTGGTCCACTCAAGCGGATCACTTTGGGGTGGTTCTGGAAACTGGAGTCATCATTTCCCTACAACTATAAACCTGCATGACAGGAAGGTACATTTTAAAGGTGGAAGGAGCTGACGTGCTTGCAGGGGCCAGCTCACCCAAACCTGGGATCCTGACAAAGACCCAGAAAGCTCTCACCAACGGAACAGGACCCACTCCTGGGCCTCTCTTCCCAACCTCCAACACAAAGGCTGAGGGCCAGAGCAGCCTTAGACTTCACTCTGGGCCCCGAGGCCTTCCTCTCATATAGCTGGGGAAGGTCTAAGAGGTGATGGTAAGGGTAGTTGGTGAGCAGAACGCGTTGCCGCCCGAGCGCCCACTGTCGTCACAATAGCACGGCACAGACATGGACAGCAGTGTGCCCATCAACACACAGCGTGGCCATCACTGCCTGGAGACTTGCCATCAGTGTCACTAAATAAAACCTTTTTGGGTAACTGATCATCTATGCAGGTGCTATGAAAGCATCCACCCTCAGTGTCACCACCACAAACACCCCTCTGCAATATGACTAGTTCATGTTACCCAAGAGGAGACCCACCAGTTCTGTGCACAGTCCGTCAAGCTCCTGACAGAAAACAGAAACTCGGAGAGCCCCACAGGCACATGCTGGTCAGCAAATGCTAGAGTAAATCAAATCAGAGAATAGTAGAGGACTCACATCCCAGCACCAATTGCAAGTACAAAAATCTCCCTTCAGCACCAATTGCAAGTACAAAAATCTCCCTTCTGGTTTTATGTTCTTTACCAAGGACCATTGTTAGAAATGTCTGAACATCTTCTCATCCACACTGGGAAGCTACTCACTGCATTTCATTGACAAGCTTCTCACATGCACAGTGCTTTTCTGAGACAGCGGAAAGAGATATTACGGCTACTGAAAAAGAAATGCAGCCAGATAAAGGCGCAGAAATTCAGGCTTGCTTCTGAGAAAAGGAAATGCCACAGTGAGGTTAGTCAGTTTTGATTCAGCTGTTCAGAAACCACTTGTCTATAGGAGAAAATGTTAACATGTATCCTAAGGAGGCAGAGAAGTCACAGGGCTTAAGTCCAATTTAAATCATGGCTTAAAAAGTAAATACTGAGAAGATAGCAGACGCCACCACCATCAAATATTAAGAAGTGCCACCAAAAAAAGCGCCACATGTGAAAAGAACTAAGCTGTTTTCAGTATCTAGATGTCCACATCTCGGAAAAGGTATATTCAAAACTGTGTTTGTGATTCTGTGCTTATGTCCTCTTTGTTTCTAGCCTGTTTTTGTTTTTGTTTTTCTTAGAACAGGCTCTCTAAAAATGATCTAGTTCACGATGATTTTGCTGCTTAGAAAACCTTAGAATGGAGTTTGGTGCCATTTTATCGTGCATCATTCGGATCAAATTTAGCTGAGACTTTCCTTTGGGAAAGGAACAGGTGAAGATAAAAATGAGCAGGCAATGTTTCAGAGGCCAATGTCAGAGATAACACCTGCTGAGCCTCACAGGACCCCTTCCTGCCTCCAGAGGCTGCAGCTGGTGCCACAGCCCTGTGGCCAGGTCACTGGACACTCACCAGACTCCAATGGTCACATCTTCCTCTGGCTGGAGGTAGTAGTTACAGGTGTGATTCAAACCTTGATCCTGTGGTTTTTTCAAGTCAATGAAATATGGAACCCTCACTGTAAGGGACAAAGAGATGAAAGTCAGGATGAGGGGTGATGGATGGGCATGTCTGAATGTACACACACACAGGCACACACACACACGCACACACTCAACATGCACACACACACTAACATGCATACTCACCCATGCACACACACAACATGCATGCACACCCACACATGCACACATACAGCAGAGGTGAAGCTCTCAGGAAGCACAAGCTGTCTTCCTGCACAATCCTGCCAGACTCAGAGGCCTGCTCAGGCAGAGGAGGGGCCAAGGACACAGGAACCCTGTCAGCGGGGCAGGGACGGACACTGCAGTGACGTGGGGTCTGAGTAGAGACTGGAACCACCAAGGTCCAAGGTCGCTCAAGGGGTGTGAAGACGCAAACAAGGAAATGAAAAAGACCAATTGGACAGCAAGAAGGCTAGGATGAGGCCAGGAGACTGCAGAGAGTTCAAATGAGCCTCAGCTGGAGGCTGGCACCAGGGACAGGGAGGGACAGCAGGAAAGGGGATGGAGCCACAGGGCCCCATGACCAAATGAACGTGGGTGGTAGGCAAGGCCAAGGGATTCTGAGGTTTCAGGTATTGTCACTTGACACAGAAGGAAGGCAGAAGGGGAGGTGTAGGACAGCAAGTCAGATGAGTCCTCTGAACCCCACCAAGAGCACAGCAGAGTCAGAAGGTGCCACGGCAGGAGCTCCATATTGAACAGGTCACCTGTCAGTAGGACGGTGGGGGAATACACTGGTGAACCAAATGGTGCAAATCAGGGGCCACTAGACCTGGAAGAACCTCCAGAACATGCCAGCAGAGCAGAGGGGTAAGGAACAAGGTAGGACCACCTGGCACTGTGCACTCCCACCTCACTGCTATCAAAATCAGCACATAGCATCAACATCAACCCCACCACCCGTGACTCAGAAAAACACAGGCAGACACGTGCCAAGCTGCCAATACAGCTTCAAACATGGGGTGGGGCTAATATTTTTCTGGTTTTTTGTTTGTTTGTTTTTTTGAGTTGGAGTCTCACTCTGTCGCCCAGACTGGAGTGCAGTGGCCGCTCCCAGCCACTGCAGCCTCGACCTGCTGGGCTCCGGTGATCCTTCCACCTCAGCCTTCTGAGTAGCCAGAATTACAGGCGCGCTACCACGCCTGGCTAATTTTTTGATTTATTGTAGAGATGAGGTCTCGCCTGCCCAGGCGGGTCTCGAACCTGCGTAATATTTTTCTTATATACCATTGACTTCTATTCCTTGTGATGAACATAATTTTTGAAGATAAATTTAATTAGAAAATGAATAATTAAAAAACCCCACAAGTCCTGAGATGGGGTGTACTTACTTTATACAATGGCAACTCCCCAAAGAGGCAGGGACAAGAGCAGCGTGGTCCCAACTGGGAGCTGGTCACACCCTCCAGGGACCACAGCTGCTGAATGCCATCTTTGGTGAGGAAGGGGCATCATTAAACCCCCCACATAAAAGCAGCATGCCACATGTCCAGCCCTCACTTCCTCAGCTGTCACCAGAGCTCAAGGGACAGGTGCTGACTTATGGGACATGGGGACATACTCCTTCCCCAGACACTCCCTGAGCATACCCAGTCCAAGTGGGGAGATGACTCTTTCACTGGGGCTGCTGTCCACACCTCCAACTTCTCAATCCAGCCCTTCGCCAAGAAGCAGCTACTTTTTCAAAGCTTTGATAAAAGTTTCTCTCAAAACAAAAATGGCAGCAGAGGTGACACTATACCACACAGTTCCTGGGATGGCTGCCATCATCCCCATTTTATAGCTCCTGTTAGGCCACTGGCTCACCTATGACAGAACTGGATTTGAACCTGGCGACCTGACTCCATAGCCCTCACCCTCAACTAAGCAAACAGGAAGTCAGGGAGGCAAACTGGCTCCAATCCCAGAGAGCCTTGAAGCCCAGGAGCTGAGTTGGGTCTCCAAGATACACTGAAGTCCTCACCCCATGCCTAAACATGTGACCTTATTTGGAAATAGGATCTTTACAGAGGTTGTCTGGACATAACTTAACCTAACATAACTGATATCCTTATTAAAAAGGGGAAATTTGGGCTTGGCACAGTGGTTCAAGACTGTAATCCCAGCACTTTGGAAGGCTGAGGCGAGAGGATTGCCTGAGCTCAGGGGCTCGAGAGCAGCCTGGGCAACTTGGTGAGACCTCGTCTCTACAATAAAAAAAAAAAAAAATTAGCCAAGCATGGTAGCACATGCCTATAGTTCTGGCTACTTGGAAGGCTGAGGTGGAAGGATCTCCTGAGCCCAGCAGGTTGACGCTGGGGTGGTTGTGAGTGTGCCACTGCCCTACAGCCTGGGTGACAGTGAGACTCAAAAAAAGGGGGGGTAGAATTTGGACACAGAGACAGACACAAAGAGGAGCCTGTGTGAGGATGACCATGGACAATGGAGGTGGGACTGGGTGACGCTGCCACAAGCCAAGGATTGCTGCTGCCCCCAGAAATGCAAAAGGCGAGGCTGCATTCAGAGTCTCAGAGGAAGCGGGGCCTATAGGACTGTGAGACAACGCCTCTGTCTGAAGCTGCCAGTTTGTGGACTTGCTATAGCAGCCCTAGGGTGAGTCCAGATTTCATTCTGGCAAGGGGACTTGGAGAAGGCTCCTGCCTGGAGGCAGGGCCTGGACAGCAAGTCTGCATTTCAGACTGCGGGAGCCTGCAGCTTAACTCTACACTCCTGGACACTGTCAGCAGCAGCCTAATGTGCAGTTTCTTCTGCAGCTGTGGGGTGGGATGACTCCCTCAATAATGCTTTGAATAGCCATGTCTGGCACCCACTGTCTCCAGACCCACTCAACCAATGCTGCCTGTAATGCTGGAACCACTTCCTAGCCCTGCCAAATGGAGTGTGGGCGTTGAGGGCTGAGGGCCCTTGACCTCATGAACTCAGCTTCAGTTCTGTGTGTGGAGAAGGAGGCCAAGCTCTTGGAACACAAACTATCCTGGAATTCCAACAGGATTCCCTGGCCACTGCAAAGTGATTTTATGATTAGTAGCTAATCCAGAAAGATTCCAAGCCCAAGAAACCCAAGAACTGAGAGGCCAAGTTTTACTCCAGGACGACCTCATTCCAGGCAGTAGCCTCCCAGTTCATGTCTATTCCTGTTTAGAAACAACATGGAAAGGAGGCACAGTGACACAGTGACTGCCCTAAAGTCCAGCAGATGTTACCCATGCCCCTGCCCTGTCCTCAGCAGCATCCCAACCAGCCTAACACGGTGCGAGCCCTGGTAGGTCCTGGGCCTGGGAAGCCCCAGAGTGCAGCAGCTGCAGGAATCGCCTAGCCAGCTCTGCTCTCACCAGCACAGATGCCACAGAGCAAAAGAGCAAGGGCAAGAGGTACTGAGAGGGTTGGCCCATGCAGTGGCATGAGAGCCGCCTCCATGTGGTCAGGTCTTCTTGGCCACCGCCCCTTTGTGGCCTCTGTGACTCCAGGATGCCGCCTGGAGCCCCCTGCCCAGGCCCCCTTCATCCACAGGCTGGAGCAGGGATGCGAGGAGAAGCCCACGGTAGCCCCACAGGAGCGACAGGGCAGCCTGTTTCCCCACACTATTCAGACGTGCTGGCTCACTCACCACCCTCTCAAAGGAACACTGAGACGGCTTGGCAGTGCCGCCCAGGATCCCACACACAGCCCTGACCTGGGGGCCAGCTAGGCCCATCGAGCTGCATCATCTGCAGGAATGAGGTTGCTGGCTTCTCCCCCTCCCGCAGTTTGTCATGATCTACCCTCTGGCCATGTTACCATGTGTCAGCAACCACAAGCCTCAACAGGCGGGATTTAGAAGGAAGGGATCCTGCATCTGGTACTCCATGAGGGACAAGGGAGTGAACATGAGGGTGCCTGGAACACAACCCACTCTGTCCTACTCGTATTAGCTAATTGGAAATCTCTGATGGAGAAAAGGCCGAAGTCACTGAGCTGTGATGGCCATTTCTGAGTGCCCATTGGACTTTAATGCTGGCTACATCTCCTTCCAACCACTGAGGGTAACAGGGCAGCCTGGATCCTAAGAGGAAAAGGTCTGGCTGGGCTATCTGGGTTTTACCGAATTCTAATTACTTGATGCTACAGGAGCTTCCACAAGAAGGAAAGGGATAAGGAAATAAAGAGGTCGGGGCTACAGGGGTTGCTGCTGAGGGGAAGGAAAAAGAGGAAGCTGGCCTCTTGCTTTAAAAACAAATGTGTGATTATAGTTCTGACCTATTTCCCAAAAAGGCCTCCTGAACCAATACATTCCTTTTATCAGGAGATGTGTTCTTGATCTGAAGGCAAAGTAACAGCTGGGAAGATGTTCTGGACTTCAAGACCTTAAATGCTGGTTCTCCCCCAACACTGTTTGGATGGGATCAGACTTGTGAAAAAGTATGAGAAAGCACATATATTAATGTTTATGTGAACAGAAACATACAAAAAATACCAGCAGGAAATAAACTACAGGGTAATTCAAAATTTTCTCAGAGCAACTTTCATTTTATCTATGCTACTCAGAGTTTTTTTAGCCAATCTTTTGTTTGCCTTTAGAACAATCATGTATTTTTTGCTTATGAATATATATTTAAAGTAGAGTAACACCTTAAATCACAGGGGCTGTGCTTCTTCTAAAGCTTACCTATCTGATTTATAAGTTTGGTTTCAAATAGATTTGCTGTAAACTTAAGGGTATGCTAACCATGTTCTGGGCCCAAAAGATTGTTACACTTTTTTAATGCCAAATGGATACCCACCAGTCACGCATCCCCTGGGGAGACAAGAGCAGAGACCACCCTCATCACAACTCCAGGCACTGCACAGCTGTGCCAAGATCTCACCTCCTCTGCAGGGGAAAGGGGGACAGAACTTTGACCTTCAAATCACATGATGGCTGGAAAACCAAAAAGCCCCAGGCTACTTTCAGAGACTGCCCTTCCTCCCAAGGGAGCAGACAGAGGGCCACACTTGGAGAGGGCCTTAGAAGCTAACAGAACAGCTTGTGGCTTCCCAGGGAGGGCAGAGGGGCCTGGGGACTAGGGTTACTCATCATGGAGGGGCAGTCCCCGGGGGGGGGGGGGTGCCTGGAGTGGGGTGCCAAAACCAGGCAGGTGCCTGGAGGTGAGGCTGCGGGAATTCCAATCACTGCCCCCAGGAACAAGGCCCATAGATGCCTGGCCTTTGGTCAGCTTTTCAAAAGAGGCTGGAAACATAATTTTTTATTATGCTGACAACTAAAAATCACTATTATGCACACTGCCATGGGCTCTCCCTGGCAAACAGATGGAAGGAAAGTGTTAGGGACAGGTACCTCCCTGGGAGGCTCAGGACGGTCCCTGACCACACCAGCCCTCCTCTTTTGTACCACGGGGGCTGGGCCAGGAGAACACAAAGTCCTGTTCCCACGGAGCAGCCTGCCATCTCCTTAGGAAACGTGCAAAGTCTGTGGCTGTGTCTCCAGCAGCCCTCATAATTGAACTAAAGAAACCCAATTCAATTCAAACATTTGCTGGGAGCCCACAAACATTTGCTGGGAGCCCACAGCGTGCCAGGCCCCAGGGCAGCACACCCACAGCCCCTGCCTTCAAGCAGCTGCTCCCTCCAGCACAAAGGCACCTGCCCAAAGTAGCTGGAGAAGAGGGCAGGGCTATGTCTCAGGTCTGCTGTTGGTGAATCTGAAACCCTTGCAGCTTCCTGCTTATACCCAAGCAAACCCTTTTCTGTGTGTATTGTGCACATTTAAGGAACATGAGAGAACAGAAACACAAAACTCCTTTGATTTTAGTATATTGCTGGTTAAGTCTATGTTTTTCATGAGTGGCAAAATTTAGAGATGATGAATTCCTAGAAGTTCAGTCCTTTTCCATTAGAAAAATCAAATGCCACTTAGTATACTACGTGATTTTACAATTACTTTAAGATACCTAAATTAAAAATTGATTTTAGATTTACAAGGTCGTAAATACTGACCTTACTATTTCTGTTCTTCCCACTAGTGTAAAGAACAGAAATTCCTTTTTAGCCAGTAACTGCCAAATCTCCATGATTCAGTCTACTGTAGGGGCAGATGCCTGCAGAGCCTGGAGCACTGTGTCACTGCAGACAGGGTCTCCAGCCCATGAAGTGACTGCCCCAGCCCAACCCACTCCCTCCAGCTCTGATCTCTCAGGCCAGGCTCACAGAAACCAGCACCTCTCGATGCCTGCTGTCTGCTTCCCAATGTCTCCTCCCCGCCCCCCACCAATTCACTGTGCCTCTGCAACGTCAGCACCAGTGTTTCCAGCCTCAAGCTCTGGATCACGCTCAGAGCCTACCTCATCCCATTCTCAAACCCCTGTACCTGCTTTGCAGAATGTCACTGGGGGAGCACCTACCCTGGGCAAGCCTTGTTGGTCTCAATCTCGAGCAGCGCAAGAGCAGGCCCTTGGCAGCATCTCGCAGGAAGAAACAGTGCTCCTTCCCAGCACACACACGCATACACACCCGAGTCCTCTGCCTTCTATCCATGTGTGTGAAACTTCCCCAAAAGTAAACACATGGCATGTAAAAGGGGGAAAAAGGAACAACTTTGAAACAAACAAGGTCCAAGATCGCCCATGGAGACTGCAACACCCATAAGGCCAGCACCAGATCCCACAGAAGCCAAAGTACCGCATGACTGCTTATTTTAAAAAGAAAAAAGGCCTGTTTTTTTTTAAGGTGCTTTATTTTTCAGTGGTCACCTTTTCCAAGGACAGTTAACCTCCTAGACTGCACAACTGACAAAGCATCTCCAACATGCCAGCTTCAGATGACTTTCCAAGTCCTCAACATCTCTACCCACTTCAGTAAAGACACATAGATCCAGCACTGGAGTGCGATGTCCACACTCAAACATCCTCCAACTGGGAAGGGGCACAGGGAACTTTCTGGGTAATAGAAATGTCTACTTCTTGATCTGCATGCTGGATCTATCTATCTGTCTCGATACATAAACTGTATACTGAAGAGCTATACATTTCACTACATGTAAATTAAATTTCAATTAAAATAAAAAGACACCAACTAGATTAAGACATCATCATGACAATGAACTCCTATGAAAGTCAAAAGGAAAATGGATGAGAGCACTTACCGAAATTCAAGAATATCAGTTTGGCCTGTATTCCAGGACATAGTTTGATGAGAAATGGAATGGCAATGTACAACCCCAAAACACAGAGAAGGATCTTCCTCAGTCGGAACCACAGGCTCTTCCGCCTGCAAAAGAAAGGCAGGTAGTAGGTCACGAGTCAGTAGTGCCATTTCACTGTGGAGTATCAACAGTATTATCAAACTCATTCAGCAAGAGCCACACATATATTTCCCACATGAACACCACCAGTAAGAAGAGTAACCTCCCTCCTGCCTTTGTTAAAATAACTATTCTACCAGGAGTTGAGGGACGAAGGACCTTTTCTTCTTAAAAGTCAAAGTAACAGTACTGATGATTTCTTATGTTCACCCTTGGGTAAGAATCAGCAGAGAAAGCAGATACTCAGAAACTGCCCCACCTGATATCAGACCCCAGCTGCAACTTCATCTCAGGAGAGGCGTGGGTTACTTGTCAGGGCCTCATAGGAAGCACAGACATCAAAGCCATCAACAAAACCTGTCTAGCTAGGTCCTGGGAGAGCAGGGGGTTGAGGACAAGCCTGTGCCTGTCACTGTGTGTCCCTGCTTTTCCACAAGGCTGGGCCCCTCAAGCCAGGTCGTCATCCCAGGATCTTATGATCCTCTTCTAATACCTTACCAGCTCTGAGAATTTCTTATCCTGTTCCTGACCCCTCTTCAAAAATGTCTCCAACCTAGGGAGTCTCAAATTTATTGGTCTCAGAACCTCTCTACACTAAAAAGACTGAGGGACCTTAAAGAACTTCTGTTTATATGGTTTACATTTATTACTGTCACAGAAGTTAAAACTAAGACATTTTTAAATGTCTGCTGATTCATCTAGTAATTATAAACAACCTATCAAATGTTATTGTGAATAACATTTATCATTAAAAATAATTATATTTTCCAATACAAAACATTTTAAAGAAAAGAGTGGCCTTAACATTTTCACAAATTCTCTAAGTCAGAGAGCTTAACAGGAGACAGATGGATTCTGATATCTTCTTCTGCATTCTGTCTGCTGTGACACCACATGTCACATGGCATCTGGTGTTTCACGTACACCATGAGAGGAGGACAATGAGCAAGTTCCACCTCAGTGTTAATGTGAAGCCCTTCTGACCTCAGGACTCCCTGAAATAATCTTGGAGCCCACGAGTCTCGGAGCACACCTGGAGAACCACGTCAAGTCAAAACCTTAGGGGGGGCCACAGTGATTTTATTTCTAGATTGTTTCAAAAAAATGTAAGATGGTTTTAAAAACATGGATTGAACTGCTAACGCATGCAGCAATACAGAGGAATCTCAAAGTATTACGTTAAATAAGACAGCCACAAAAAAACCTATATACTACATGGTTTAATTTGTCTAAAAATTCCAGAAAAGGCGTAGCAAAACAGAACAGCAGTTGTGGGTCTGGGGGTGGAGCCCGAAACTGACTGCAAAGGGCAGTGAAACTCTTCTGTATGATAGTACAATGATAGATACATGTCCTTATACACTTGTCAAAAGTCCATAAAAGATGCATCAGGAATGAGCTCTGTGTAAGCAATGAACTGGCTCGTGGACTTTCTTGAATGCACAGTTGCAAGAGGCTGACAGTGGAGCCCACCCTGTGTGGAGGCGCAGGGCACTTGGGCATCTCTGAACATCCCACTCAGTTTGGCTGCGAACTTAAAACTGCTCTAAGAATGAAGTGTATGAATTTTTAAAAAGTCAATAGCAACAACAAAATGTTACTCATAGCTATCAGGTGTTTTGGGACTCCACAAGAAACCTGAAGCCCAAGATGGGGACGGAGAAGGTGCAAGAATGGCAGTTAGTGCTTGGTGACTTTAGATGGAACCAGTGTAAACACTACAGTAAGAAATCCCCAGAACCAGAAAGAGAAAACTACTTAATTCTGAAAACTTCACAGCCTATGTACTAGAAGTTTATATCATTATTTTAATCAGGCAGTTACATGCTTGTAAATAATGAAGTTCTGCGAGAATCCTGTGACTAAGGGATAGGGGCTCATTACTTGAAAAGCTGCCTGCACGAGGCTTCCAGTGGGGGCACCCGGCTCCTGCTCCCTTCTGGGCCCCAGCTGCAAAGTGCCTTTAACACTGCGCCAGGGTGAGTGCTTGGAGTGCATGTCTTTCACTCTCATTGTGGGAGTGTTTTCTTATGTAAGACACAAGTTTCCAGATTTCTGATGTTATCTCTTGATATGAATATTTAATGATGAAATACTATGTTCTTTTAATATCTGAGAGCATAAGTTCCCATAATAAATTTAATTCCTCTAGATTCCATTTAAATTAGTGCTATGGTCAAGAATAAATCTCCTCAGCAAGTCTGAAAGTCTTTTAACAAGGCAGACAAGAAAATAATTTTTATCAAGTCTGTATTATACTTGCATATAAAAAAATAATAATATTTTCATGTTTAAAAAAGTTCACACACAAATACAACAAAGCCAAGAGCGGCTTCTTCAAGAAAGAGTAAGAAATAGATGAATAAGTTTTAGGCTAGAAACAGAATATGAGTTTGTACAAAATTAGGAATAAGAAAGTTCAGACAACCATAGATGAGAAGACTTGTTTTTGTTTTTTTTTTTTGAGTCAGAGTCTCACTCTGTTGCCCAGGCTGGAGTGCAGTGGCACGATCACAGCTACGGCAGCCTTTATCTGCTGGACTCAGGTGATCCTTTCTCCTCAGCTTCCAAGCTGAAACCATAGATGCACACCACCACGCCTGGCTTATTTTTTGATTTATTGTAGAGACAAGGTCTCATCATGTTGCTCAGGCTGGTCTTGAATCCCTGAGCTCAGGTGATCCTCTCACCTCCACCTCCCAAAGTGCTGGGATTACAGGCATGAGCCACCATGACCGGCAGATTTTTTTAAAATAAAGAATATCACATACTTTGCTAAGACAATAAAATTTTGATGATTTTAGACTATTTGGTAAAAACTACCACCAAAAACAAAAAACATAAATGTGCTGGGTGTGGTGGTACTTGACTGTAGTCCCAGCTATTTGGGAGGCTGAGGAGGGAGGACTGCTTGAACCCAGGAGTTCCAGACTGTAGTGCACTATGATAGAGCCCATGAGTCGCCAGTGTAACTCTATCTCCTAAACAAATAAATGGTGAAAAGTCACTCAAATTGCTAGCAAAAAACTAACAAAACATATCCCCAAAGGAAGTATTAGAAAAAGCTGTCATCCCTGAAGGTCACCAAGCCCAGAAAGATTGACAGGTATTTCCTCCTATTAAAAAACAAATAATTATTATATTATGCAATCTGTGGCAAAACAGGGAAAATGAGAGAGCACATGTAAAATAAAAGATTGTTTTAGTATAATGGGAAAATAGAATAAACATAGCACCACAAAGAATACTACCAGTGAATTTCAAATGTAAACAGAGATACAAAAAATCCAGGCAATATAAAAGCAAATCAGCAAGGAATGTAAAATAGCACAGCTGCTAAGGAAAACAGTTTGGCCACGCCTCAAAAAGTTAACCCTAGAATTGTCATATGATCCAGTTTCTACTCCTAGATATACATACCCAAAGAATAGATACCAAGGACTGAAACAGATACTTAGTAGACTAAGCATTACCCACAACACTGCAGCATTACTCACAACACTGCAGCATTACTCACAACACTGCATTACTCACAACAGTGCAGCATTACTCACAACAGCTGAAAGGTGGAAGTAACCCAAGTGCCCATCAACAGATTCATGGGCTGGGTGCAGTGACTCATTCCTGGAATCCCAGCACTTTGGGAGGCTGAGATGGGAGAATTGCTTGAGCCCAGAAGTTTGAGACCAGCCTGGGCAACATAGAACATAGCGAGACCTCATCTCTAAAAAATAAAATTTTTTTTAAATGGCCAGGCATGGTGGCACACATCCCAGCTACTCAGGAGGCTTGGGTGGAAGGATCACCTGAGCCCAGGAGGTCGAGGCTGTGGTGAGTCATGACTGTGCCACACTGTCCTCAAGCCTGGGTGACAGCATGAGACTCTGACTTAAAAAACAAAAATCATCTTAAAAAGAAATGAAGAGCCGGGCTTGGTGGCTCAGCCTGTAATCCCGCGCCTTTGGGAGGCTGAGGTGAGTGGATTGCCTGAGGCCGCGGGTTCGAGAACCGCCTAGGCAGGCGAGGCCTCATCTCTACAATAAAATCAAAAAATCAGCCGGGTGTGGTAGTGCATGCCTGTAATTCCGGCTACGCGGAAGGCTGAGGCGGAAGGATCGCCGGAGCCCAGCAGGTCGAGGCTGTGGTGGCCGGAAGTGGCCACTGCACTCCAGTCTGGGCGACGGAGTGAGACTCTAACTCAAAAAAAAAAAAAAAAGAAATGAAGAAAACTGTAGCACTTCAGTTAGTAGTATAAACTAAGCTTTGGCATAATGATAAAATGGTGTGTTCCTCTGTGAGAAGATTTAATATTTAAAGATATCTTTTCTCTTTCTGATGCTATTGTAAATGCAATTGTTTTCTTAAATTCATTTTAAATTGTTTATTATAATACTACTAGATTGTAATATTAATAGAAATACTATTGATTTTTGTATATTAATCTTGTATCCTGCAACCATGCTGGCTTTATCTATTAGTCCTAATAATTTTTAAAATTTCTTAGAATTTTCTATATATAAGGCTATGTCATATGCAAGATAGGTTTACTTCTTCCTTTCCAATCTGGATACCTTTTATTTCTCACCTAATCTTCCTGGCTAGACCCTTCAGTACAATGTTGAATAGTAGTGACAACAGTAGACATTACTGGCTTATTCCTGATATCAGGGGTTAAGCATTCAGTCTTTCACCATTAAGTATGATGTTAGCTGTATTTTTTGATGTCTTGTTTCAGGCTAAGGAAGTTACCTTCTCTTCCTAGTTTGTAGAGTTTAGCATGAAAGAATGTTGGATTTTTTTCAAGTGCATTTTCTGCACCTGTAGAGATGATCATGTAGTTTTTGTTTTTTATTTTACTAATATGGTGTGTTTAATTGACTTTTGGATGTTAAACCAGCCTTGTGCTCCTAGAACAACCTTCGCTTGTTCCTAGTGCATAATACTTTTTGTATATTGCTAGATTTGGTTAGCTAGCATTTTGTTGGGATTTTTATATCTATATTCATAAGAGATATTGTCTGTAGTTTTCTTGTGATATCTTTGTCTAGTTTGGTCAGAGTAATACTGACTTCAAGGTTTGATAGTGTTTCTTCTATTTTTTCAAGAGTTTGTCAAGAATTGGTATTAATTTGTCTTTAAAGTTTGGTAGAATTTAGCAGTAAAGGCATCTGGGACTGGACTTTTCTTTGTAGGTAATTTTAAAGTTATTATTATTATTATTATTATTATTGAGCTGGAGTCTCACTCTGTCGCCCAGGCTGGAGTGCAGTAGCACACTCACGGTCACC